TTGTAGAGGGGCGGCCCCCTATATGCCGTGAGGGGCCGCGGTAGAGGTGCTGGCCCTGCAAGTGCCCCTCCCACGTCCAACCATAGAGTAGTGGCCGCTAGCTGCTTCTACTGAGTACATCTACAGCGTGGCACGCTCTGGTGACGTCAGCGCTCTCTCTTGTGACGTCATGTAGCTGCTGCTGCTGCTGCTGCTGCTGCTGCTGCTGCTGCTGCTCTCGATGGTCCTGCTGCTGCTCCAGGGACTTCGCATCATGGTGCTGATGATGCTGTGGCTGTTGCTCATGACGCTGTGGCTGTTGCTGATGATGCTGTGGCTGTTGCTCATGATGCTGTGGCTGTTGCTCATGACGCTGTGGCTGTTGCTGATGATGGTGTAGCGCTTGCTGGTAGTGATGTATTTTTGCTGGCTGCATGTGGCGTAGCTGTTGCTGATAATGATGCAGGCCAATCTGTTGCTGTTGCTGCTCGGGTTGTCTCAACCAAGAAGCCCGCGTCTCACAGGAAGGCCACCGCACCCTCTGTGCGCGCTGCTACCTGCTACCTCTTCTTCAGGAGGTGCGTGGCTGCGTGGGGCCCACAGGGCGGTGTGTCCCTAACTTGTGTGTGTGTTTAACTTTATTGGATGATGATGGCCGCAGGTGATGCTTGTGTCTGGTGGTGCAGGTGGTGCTTGTGTCTGGTGGTGCAGGTGATGCTTGTGTCTGGTGGTGCTTGTGTCTGGTGTTGCAGGTGGTACTTGTGTCTGGTGGTGCAGGTGGTGCTTGTTTCTGATTGTGCAGACGCTGCTAATGAGATCATATATATTTCCTTTGTGTTGTGTATTAATTTTTCAATAATGTGTGATGGGTTGGTGAGTGGAGGATTTTCATGGCCATTGTTATGTAGTGTTTTTATAGCGTGCTTGTTATACGCCTGCGGGAATTTTAGTTCTGCATGAAAGTGATGGCAATGGTACGAGGAACTGTGAAGCGATAGTGATGAAAACTTGGTTTCTTTCACACGATCCTGTCCCAGTGTTACGTGTATTCTATAGGGAAGACTTTTGTCATTCAACTGTTACTAGACATTACTATGTTAAGTTGAGAGTTTTTTTAATGTACTGAAAATCGTGATTTGAGATAGTTTTTTTATGTCGCTTCAGTGTTTTGATTTTTAATGTGTCTGATATTATGACTGCGTTGCTGCACTGACCTTGCCCAGAAGTGAGTGTATGTATTTTTTGTAATATATGTGTGATGTTTATTAGTTTTTTTCGATTGGGTTCTTATGATAATGAAAAGGCTTTGAGTGTCTTGGGGCTTCATCTTTTGCAAATGTGGCCCAAAACACGTTTCAGTGCTGCAGTTGACGTCTGCTGTGTCGTTTTATTTCGGGAAGACAATTATTTATTGTCAGAGTTACAAGCTTTTCTGATACAAATGGTAGCTTGCGGTAGGGACGCAGCTGTTGCTGGTAATACGGGGCTTTTAATAGGCTAAATATGATGCTGTAATTGCCACTTCTGATGATGCTGCAGCTGTTCATCATCATGCTATAAAGATGCTGCTGTGCTTGCTTTGGCTGATATTTAAGTGGTGATGCTATGATGCAACAGCGGTCGATGCCGCTGTATGATGCTGCAACTAATATGGTAAACTTTTGTAGCTTATACTCCCTCGATAGCCGATGCATTTGTAGCTTTCGTTTGCGCTACTGCTGACGATTAAAGTTTCTATTAAACCCCCATCGATACTGATTTTCTTTTAGCTGCGGTTAATTCCGTATTTGCTTCTCATGCTGATTGCAACTCTATATTCCAAAGCTGCTGGATGTCCCTAACTAATTAAAGGCTGCACGTGTTCTGATGGCAGCTGCTCGTGCTGCTGTTGCTGAGCGGGTGATCGTGCCACTCTCGGAGCTGTCTCTGCATTGCCCAGCCTTTGTTGCTTAACTTCTTTAGTGGCAATAGCAAAGGGAGTTGATATTGATCATTCAGCATCTATATGCTGTACTTCTTATTGATGGACTGGGTCATAGCCGCGCTGCAATGACGACAATTCCACAACCTCACTTATTTTTTACGAGACATTTTAAGGTTTTTGTACGCCCGCGTACGTTGTACTTCAGTTCTCTATAGGCATCGCTCCTATCACTCGGGCCCCGTACAAACTTGATGTTCTCTAACCCCTCCCTTTTGAACTTCGATTTAGTTCTGTCCTGAGTAATTGGGTTGGCTAAAGACTGATTCAAATTGCGCTCCTAACAATTCAGATATTACACAATGAGATTATATTCTTTGTACCACTATAGACACCGTACGTTACACTGCCAGAGGTCGCCGGAGCCTTTCGTTCACGAAGGTTCCTCGCTCATCCACAACACTCGCAACGTTGAATAATACGAGCAGTTATTACGATAGTCAAACAACTATCATGAGTAAATTTATTTATAGAAGAATATATTAACATTTTATGTCGTTGAATATAAGCTGCTGCAATGGCGCTACTAAGTTGATCGTAGCGTTGGCCCTCTCATGCGGATGCGTGTAGTTCGCTCGTGCCGGAGTCGAGTTCACGTCATGTACACGAGTTTCTTGCATTGATCTTTGGGCATTAATTGGACAGCGCATTTGATCGGTCTTTGCACCGGGATTGTCCGGGCTACCATTCAGCGCTCGGTTGTTGATGGACTTATGCTGTTCTCTATTATAATTTGTATCTTCCATCTCATTAATTTTTTGTTCGCGTTTCCATACCACGTACAACACTCTGCTAAAATTTGAATGCTTGATATCTCAAAGAGTGTGATTATTACCTAGGTAATTTTTCGCAATAGGCTTCTTTTTTTCGAGGCTTAAGTAGGTAGGTCGACACTAGAATTAAAATTACTGCGCAGGTATAGCTTTTTCAGATAAAATTAACATGTACGAAAAGTATGTACTTATGGATAATAATTTTTAAACAGCGTTCACACGATGGTATCTTAGCTAATAAAAATACATTTTTTGCAGTAGGTACATGTTTAATTGTGCTTCAACTTTGCACTTGATTCCTGTCTGTGCGTGACTAGAAAACGCTCTCGTGTTGAACACTGAGACTCTATATTGAGTGCGACCGACTATGTATCTGGCTATCAGATGGAGGGATAGCTGATGGAGGTATGGCTCTTAGTGTCAGAGGGAGGTNGTTGAACACTGAGACTCTATATTGAGTGCGACCGACTATGTATCTGGCTATCAGATGGAGGGATAGCTGATGGAGGTATGGCTCTTAGTGTCAGAGGGAGGTATGGCTGCAATTAACGACTGCAAATGACGTTTTGTATCCTTTTGTTGCAGAGATTGAATTGCATAATTGTGTTTCGTTGGCGATTTCGTGCAGTTCGAGTAGATTTCCTTATATAAGTCATGATTTACAACTCTAACCAACGACTTACAAGCGTTATGATTATTTTACCGTGATTTAAAAAAAAATCACAGCAAAATTGACATTATTGACACGTGCTTACTGAATTACCATCGCATTACGTGGGAACACATTTACAAGTTAATCTTTTAGGGACTGAACACCACAAACGGCGACAGGAAAATTTGCATCGGTTTCTCCTTCTCTTGGTTCACTAATTGAACATTTTTACCTGGGGAGAAATAATACTCTGCACGCAATTAAACATATGCTGAAAATGTTTAAATTACGAATCAGTGTTCCTGTATATAGAGCTTGTATATTTTTTAGCTCATTTACTTCCTAAGTACGGGTTATGAATTTATTTATTTCGAATAATAGAGCGCTTTGCTCCAATGCTGTTATTGGCTTATTTTGATTTGTGTTTTTTTTTCTGTTTGATGATCCATTCAATTGAATCTTTTTATTTAATTCATGGTGAAATAAATAAACCCATTTAAAAAAAATCAGATTGGAGAAAACCAGTTTACAGCCGTGCAAAAACCATGACAAGTTTTGCCGTAGGTGATCTCGCACCAACGACTGAAAGTGTTTGGTTCATATTAAAGATACGCACAGAGTGGCACGCTACTTGCCCACTACCAGCTGCCTGTAGTGGCTAGCCTGCAGGTGTCACTACCAGCTGCCTGTAGTGGCTAGCCTGCAGTTCAGAGATATATCAAACAAGTTTTTGGTGTTATAGGCCGGAATTTTCACGTTGTTTTGTAGACAATAATATGCGTTTAAAAATTACTTTTTAAAGACAATACTTATAAAGAATCCAGTGTCTCCGATGTTTCATATGTACAATGAATTTCTAATTTTATCAAATATTACAAAAATTAATTTACAAATTTTATTTTTAAAATAAAAAAATACATTTTTCAAAATTATTTATTCTGTCAGTTGATTCATGCATTGCCTCCGACTTTAGGCAAGTGTGCAAAATTTCAGATCGATTTGACATTTAGAAGTGTGTTGAATAACGATTTTAAGATTTGTAGAAGACAAAATTGTTTATTTCAATTTTTTTTAAGTTTTGAAATATATATTCTGTCAATTGATTCATGCATTGTCTCCAACCTTACGCAAGTGTGCAAAATTTCAGATCGATGGGAAAGGTGAAAGTGTATTAAATATCGATTAGGTACGGTATATGATTTGTAGCAGACAAACAAACAAACTAACAACAAGAAGTGAAGTTAAAGAGAAGTGTTGTAGAAATGGGGCCCAGTCAAGGATTGCCTATTTTAACCATTAAGATTTGTTTAGTGAAACCAATTAGTTAATTGAATAATATTATATGGTATGGCCGTTAACGGACAATTATTAACAGGGCTTACTAAGCTGCCGAAGAAGTTAAATTGTGTCAACTGTCGCACAGCTGTTCCTGTCTGGTCTGAGAATGCGTCGTACTGAATATCAGTAATTCGCTTACTGTAATGTAATATTAATTTCGTTTTTTAAATGTAATGTAACTTTTTTATCACTTCACAGGACAGAGTGGAGGCGTGTGGGGGGATGCAGTAAGGGGCTCTGGGGGGGAGACGGTGGTTGAGGGGGTCGTGTACAGGACCCTGCCCAGGACAGTGTATGCGGTGCGAGGAGAGCCCGTGTTACTGCACTGTGACCTGGGCAGCCTCAGCCACCCTTTGCACCGCCTCGAGCACCAACAACAACAGGAACAACAACAGCAGCAGCAGCAACAACAACAACGTAAACCACCGCCACCTAATCCTTCCTACTCAGACGACCTTTACGAAGACCCTTACGCTGAAGAGTACGGTGCTAGGGACTACAGTGCGTCTCGCCCCGCCCTCCACTACCACTACTACACAGAGAGTGCTCAGTCACCTCAGTATTACGATTATTACAGCGACGATAGTACAAGTGACCTCATAGCCAAGCCCGCCAAAGCCTTTGCTGGAGGTACTGCGTTGGGTGACAGCAGCAGTAACTTCAGTAGTCCTAACACTGCTACCTCATCATCCGTATTATTGCCACTTTCACCTCCGCAAACTTCATCATTATTATCGTCATCGCCGCAGCCGCCATCATCGTCATCGCCTGATCCTATTCCATCATCATCTTTAGGGCTGACAGTTGTTGATCCTGATGTCGACGGGTTGTCCGTCATGTCACCTGTGCTGGAATCTTCACCAGATATTAACATTTCGTCCCACGACGATCAAGCTTTCTCAGTTTCTTCCAAGGATTTAGTCGAGAAGCAGCGCTTGTTCCCAGATAACGACAGCATTGACAGCGATCTTGCTCAAACCGAGATCGCTCAGCCGCCCCCTAACAGCGGACGTCTGCCGTCTGAAGTCAACCGCAGTCTGCCCAAGAACGGCCGGTCACGGGCGAACGGCGGCCGAAATTTCGCCTCTGATGCTGACGATGCGGCGCCGGTGGACAGCAGTTCGCCGCCGACACCCGGCGCTGGCCGACAGTCGGCCGTGTTCTCGGCCGCGACCGTAACATGGCTCAAGAATGACGTTGAAGTGAGCAACCGTCGCCACATCACCACCGCTACTGGCCACCTAAACATTACCAAGGTGCGCTCTCTCTACTCTCATACCTTTAATCAATTTATCCAATTGCATCAAATCCTTCGAGAAATTTATTTTTAATCGCTAGAAGAATTATGTAATATTCATTGGTTAAGATTTTACTTGATGATTCAGCGTTTCAAAATTCAAACTGTTATAAGTGCTGTAGGTGACATTTCAATGTAACCGTGATTCGTTCAGGTGAACAAATGATTCATGAGAGTGGATTTTAGAATTGATACACTTTTAGTGTGATGACGGTATTGTGTTGATGGTGGTGTGATGATGGTGAAGACGGTATTGTGTTGATGGTAAGGTAATGATGGTGAGGACGGTATTGTGTTGATGGTAGTGTGATGATGGTAATGACGGTATTGTGTTGATGGTAAGGTAATGATGGTGAAGACGGTATTGTGTTGATGGTAGCGTGATGAGGGTGAAGACGGTATTGTGTTGATAGTAGTGAGGTTGATGACGGTATTGTGTTGATGATGGTGTGATGAGGGTGAAGACGGCGATGTGATGATGGTAGTGTGATGAGGTTGATGACGGTATTGTGTTGATGGTAGTGTGATGAGGGTGTTGACGGCGGTGTGATGAGGGTGATGACGGTAGGATGATGAAGGTGATGCGGGCAGGTGGTGGTGCGTCGTGGTGGTCGCCGCATGAGCGATGAAGGCGAGTACCGCTGTGTGGTGCACACCGCCATCGGCAACATCTCCGGCCCGCCCATACGCTTGAAAGTCGCCAGTGAGTCTTAGTGCTATGTCGGTCCATGCTGCGCACTGTCATGGCTATGTCAAGAAGCGGAATTAACTCATTTTAACAAGTATATCTATCATCAATTAGTAGTCATTAATGAACTATATAATGATATAATACCATGTATTCATAGCTAGGTCAAGAAATGGAATTAACTCATTTTAACGAGTATCTATCATGAATTACTTGTCATTAATGAAGCATATTATGATATAATCACACTAAAATAATGAATCAAATCAACAAATATATAATCCCATGTAGATAATGAACAAATTCAACACACATATAATCCCATGTATATAATGAACAAAATCAATAAATATATAATCTAATGTATATAATGAACAAAATCAACTTGAACAATTATATAATCCTATTAATATGATGAACAAAATAAACAAATATAGAATTTAATGTATATAATGAACAAAATCATCATATATATAATGCTATTAATATAATGAACAAAACCAACAAACATATAATGCTATTAATGTGATGAACAAATGTCCATGGCAGACCTGAGCCGCAACGTCAGGGTCGACGTCTCTGAGGGCGGTGGACGCCCGTCCAGTGAGGGACGGGTGGTGGCGGGGGCCGCAGCGCGCCTCTACTGCGACGTGGACAGCTTCCCTCCCGCCCGTCTGTCCTGGTACAGGGACGGCGTCCCTCTGCTGTCTGATGACAGGTAGGTTATGTGAGGTACTTTATGGTAGGTTATGTGGGGTACTTTATGGTAGGTTATGTGGACAGCTTCCCTCCCGCCCGTCTGTCCTGGTACAGGGACGGCGTCCCTCTGCTGTCTGATGACAGGTAGGTTATGTGAGGTACTTTATGGTAGGTTATGTGGGGTACTTTATGGTAGGTTATGTGGGGTACTTTATGGTAGGTTATGAGGGTTACTTTATGGTAGGTTATGTGGACAGCTTCCCTCCCGCCCGTCTGTCCTGGTACAGGGACGGCGTCCCTCTGCTGTCTGATGACAGGTAGGTTATGTGGGGTACTTTATGGTAGGTTATATGGGGTACTTTATGGTGAGTTATGTGGGGTACTTTATGGTAGGTTATGTGGGGTACTTTATGGTAGGTTATATGGGGTACTTTATGGTAGGTTATGTGTGGGTACTTTATGGTAGGTTATGAGGGGTACATCATGGTTGGTTATATGGGGTACTTTATGGTAGGTTATATGGGTAATTTATGCTAGGTTATTTGTGCTGTTTTATGGTAGGATAATTGTGGTTTTATGGCAGCTTGTTTTCGGTGTTTTATGGTAAGTTATTTAATTGCCATTTGTATTGTATGGTAATTTATAAAAAAAGGTTATTTAATGGTACATTTCAATGGCTTTCATGATGCTAGTTAATAAAAGCTTCCTTCCTGCAGTGTCATAGTTTATGGACGCTAGTCCATAGTTGACATCGTAGTTATGGACGTCATAGATCCATCATGACGCTAGTTTATGGATTGTTAATAATATCACACTTCATGGGCTTTCAAAACATAATAATTAAACACATTCCTGTTTATCTTTCTAGTTCGTCTAAAATTGATGCCTAAGACATTCAAGTGTTAGACCTCCTTCACCACCTGCGCAAAGAACTTTTTTACATTGTTCGCGAATTTTATGTTTGTTTTCCGGTGTTTCCTGTGTAGACGAGACACTATAGAAATAAATTTACTTGTATTTGCTTCCCGTGAAGAATAATTTAATGTTTGAGTTTTTCTTTTTGCTTATTTTGATAACTTATTTTTTCTTGACGACTAATTTCATGTTATAATAAATTTACTAATGTAATATATATTATATAATATATTTAAAATAGAAAATAATTTATTTCTTCCAAGACTGACGCTCGTGGAGCCTGGCGTGCTGCAGATCGCTCCTCTACAGCAGTCAGACTCCGGACTGTACAGGTGGGCAGACTCGGCCAACTGTAGACTCTGCCAACTGTAGACTAGTCCAACTAGCTGCATAGTCGCTGATTGCGATCAGTTGGCCAACTGACCTAGAATAACTCTAACGCGAACATAGCAACTCTGGGGCAGAGGCTGAAGATTACCCCGAATTTTGTTAGGGTGCAGACTCTGCCAACTGTATAAACTCTGCCAACTTTTGGCAGATGACGTCGAAACAACACTGATTATGGGCGGATTTCGTTTGGACAACGTTGATTACCAGTTGATTTAGTTGAGAAAACGGTGATTATCAGTTGATTTAGTTGAGAAAATGTTGATTACCAATTTATTTATTTAAGAAAACGTTGATTGCCTGTTATTTTAGTTGAGAAAACGTCTATTACAAGGTGATTTAGTTGAAAAAACGTTGATTACGAGTTGATATCGTTGAAGAAACTTTATTATGCTTTGTTGAACAACTGCAATTTTTATGAATAATAAGTTCCATAAGTCACACGATAATATGAATAGATTCTAAATAATTCCACTGCATAGCAATATAACATTAATGAGTTCTTAATAATATCAATAATTATAGAATATATGATTAATAATTGTAATAAATAATAGTTATGTTTTGTTTCAGATGTGTAGCCCACGCAGGTACAAATAATTACAATAACTATAGCACATATGATTAACAATTGCAATAAATTAGAAATAATAGTTATGTGTGGTGCAGATGTGTGGCCCACAACGCCCTGGCGAACAAGACCCGCAGCTCTGTGGGTGAGGCCCTGACGGTGGACCACGCGATGGACCTCACGCCTGAACACGTCCTGGACACAGAGACCCACACCGCTGTCTTCCTGTCTCCCTACCACCGTCAGCACGTCGTCAGCAGGGGACAGAACCTCACCCTCGAGTGTCTTGCCACGGGCCTCCCGCTCCCCCAACTTGTCTGGCATAGAGCCCGTGAGTCTTATGTTACATTATTACAGTACATTCTACACCGCAGCCCGTGAGTCTTACATTCTTACATTATTACAGGACATTCTTCAGCGCATCCCGTGAGCCTTACATTCTTACATTATTAAAGTACATTCTGTACCGCATCCCGTGAGTCTTACATTCTTACATTATTAAAGTACATTCTGTACCGCATCCCATGAGCCTTGCATTACATTATTCACCGCATCAAACGTTTTCAGTAGCTTTTTATTGCAATTGCTTCAAATCCGTAACTTTCTTCTTTTGCAATGGCATCAAATCAGTTCAATTACTTCTTTTGTAATTGCATCAAATCTGTTTCAATTGCTCCTGTTTTCTGCGCATTCATCTAACATCTTCAATTGCTTTTTTTTCATTGCATTGAATCTGTTCACTTGTTACCGTTAGAATGAAAATAATGTGTTCAGTATTACATATTTAGCTGCAATTAATTAACTATGAAAACTTTATATATTATATATAAATTATTAAACTATTTTAATATTGTACATATATATTAATTTAAATTGGTGTAGTTCGGCAGAAGCTTCTCTTTTATGCAAGTTTGATTGAATACCAGAGCATGCTTTTTATTGACAATCTTCTTGTTCGTTTTTTCAATGAGTCGAACAGTTAACGGTATTACCGGCGTTTCAGTGGCCGGTCGGCGCGTGAAAAGAAACACCGTGTCGCCGTTTTTATTCTAATTTAACACTAGAAATCCGTAAAACACCTGATGAAAACGGCGAAACAGTTTATTTTCACGTGGCGACCGGCCAATAGAACGCCAGTGGGACCTTTTTTCACCGTTTTTTCTAACAGTATAGCGCCAGTAAACACGAGCCTCTCCATGTCATCCACAGACCAGCGCCAACGTCCACGAGCTGCTACTGACGGAGCTGCAGCCTGGCGAGACCTACTCAGTGCGAGTGCTGGCGGGCAATTCTCTTGCTTATCCTGAAGGCCCACACCTCGACTGGAAACATATCCGTCTACCTGACCACGACGAGTTCTACGGTAGCGACAATCACGATAGCGACGACGCCGTCCTAAATGGCAAAGAAAATCCCGGCAGAGAAACTGGGACAAACTACAGAACTCCTGCTCCATTGCCGGCCCCTCTTCCTCTGCCCCCGACTGTTAACCTCACCGTTTACTGGGTCGGCTTGAACAGTTCCAGCGATCGCAGTGACCAGGGCAGCTGGGCTATCAAGGTAAACATTATGAATCTTCCATTGATTTATTTTATCTTTGTGAGGTACGTCTGAAAGAAAGTTTGTATGTATTCGGTGTTTGTAAATATCTTGTACCTGTTCGTTAGTTGTTCTCGAAATTGGTATTATTTTTTTTATTCGTTAAACATGTTTGTTTGAGGAGGTAAACTAACCTCCACTTTCTCCACTTTATCAGTGAGCAATCGAGATATTAACGTCCGTGCAGGTTCTATTGATACCCCGACTCTTGATTGCATTTACACGTAACTTTACTTTGATTTATAACTCTACTTTGCAACTATTGTGCTGCTATAGTCACTGGATGTGTTTTGGATGTTTGTGATGTGTTGGATGTTTGTGATGTGTTGGATGTGTGATGTGCGTGATGTGTAGGATGTGTGATGTATGATGTGTCCAGGTGTCCTGGAAGCCTGCTAAGCGGGACGTGTCAGTGCTGGAGGGCTACAGCCTGCATGTGATGTGTAGGATGTGTGATGTATGTGTTGTATGATGTGTCCAGGTGTCCTGGAAGCCTGCTAAGCGCGACGTCTCAGTGCTGGAGGGCTACAGCCTGCATGTGATGTGTAGGATGTGTGATGTATGTGTTGTATGATGTGTCCAGGTGTCCTGGAAGCCTGCTAAGCGCGACGTCTCAGTGCTGGAGGGCTACAGCCTGCATGTGATGTGTAGGATGTGTGATGTATGTGTTGTATGATGTGTCCAGGTGTCCTGGAAGCCTGCTAAGCGCGACGTCTCAGTGCTGGAGGGCTACAGCCTGCATGTGATGTGTAGGATGTGTGATGTATGTGTTGTATGATGTGTCCAGGTGTCCTGGAAGCCTGCTAAGCGCGACGTCTCAGTNCAAAGGCAACCAACTGATCTTTGCTAACAGCGTCACCGCTGACTCTGCGCTCTACCAGTGTCTTGCGATCAACCAGGCCGGATATGCGTGAGACTATTGTTATTGTTAATATTATTACTATTATTATTATTGTTATTATTATCATCATTATTATTGCTATTGTTGTTATATTAAAGCCTACGCGCTCTACCAATGTCTTGCTCTCAACCAGGCTGGATGTGCGTGAGACTAATATTATTATTATTACTATTATTATTATTGCTATTGGTGTTATATTAAAGCCTGCGCGCTCTATCAATGTATTGCTCGCAACCAGGCCGGATATGCGTGAGATCATTATTATTATTGTTACTAGTATTATTATTATTATTATTGATTTTATATTAAAGCCTACGCGCTGGACCAATGTCTTGCTCTCAAGCAGGCAGGAAACGTGTGCCTCAAGCAGCTAACTTTTCAAATAATATAAACGCAATGGTTTGTGCTGCAGTGCTGTGTCGTTTGTGCTGCAGTGCTGTGTCGTTTGTGCTGCAGTGCTGTGTCGTTTGTGCTGCAGTGCTATGTCGTTTGTGCTGCAGTGCTGTGTCGTTTGTGCTGCAGTGCTGTGTCGTTTGTGCTGCAGTGCTATGCCGTTTGTGCTGCAGCGCTATGCCGTTTGTGCTGCAGTGCTATGTCGTTTGTGCTGCAGTGCCATGCCGTTTGTGCTGCAGTGCTATGCCGTTTGTGCTGCAGTGCTATGTCGTTTGTGCTGCAGTGCCATGCCGTTTGTCCTGCAGTGCTATGCCGTTTGTACTGCATGCTATGCCGTTTGTGCTGCAGTGCTATGCCGTTTGTACTGCATGCTATGCCGTTTGTGCTGCAGCGCTATGCCGTTTGTGCTGCAGCGCCATGCCGTTTGTGCTGCAGTGCTATGCCGTTTGTGCTGCAGCGCCATGCCGTTTGTGCTGCAGTGCTATGCCGTTTGTACTGCATGCTATGCCGTTTGTGCTGCAGTGCCATGCCGTTTGTGCTGCANCACCTCACCAAACTTGGTAGGCTTAGCTTGCAAGCTCAACTACATTTAACTATTTTTTAGCATCTTTAACTCCGCGTAAGTATTAAGTATTAAGTATTTTTAGTATCTTTAACTCCGCGTGTCATCAGACTCGAGGATTCTTGTATTCAAGCATTTCCATTACACTGAGAACGATGAATGGGTCATGTTGTCTAATTTTGGACACATTTTCTCTTACTCAACACGATTATAGGGCGAATTTAGCACTGATAGGCCTTTTTAAGATCAATAAGTGCACGCTATTTGACAACGTCTCACTTATTTCTTTGAGTGTATCTCTAAACTCGCCTCGGGGATTCACACATTGTAAGACTCAATGATTCTTTCACAAACTATATATTTGCTGTCTGTTCTCTTGCAAACTACATCTATGCTGTCTGGTCTTTGTTGCTTCTTCTTTTTAATTCATATTTTTTCGATTCTACCCTAATTGCTTCCGCGATGGCCTCTCCACCTATTGTGTGTCACATTATTTTCATTTGTGAAAGAAGTATGTTTCTTATTTTCTCTACAGCAAAATGGCTCAAAATAATCTAATATTTCCTAATTCAAGTTCTCGCAGTATGCAATACATTTTAAATCGAAAATTTCACGTATTTATTATCTAAGTAACGTTAAATTCATCACAAATTGATCGATTTAGAAGTATAACATTGAAAATTACATATTAAATTCAAGCACGTAGTAGGTTATAACGGAAATGGGAAATTATTGGTGGTAATGGAATTTTTTGTGAAAATTTGAAATGTGATGACAGCGATTACATCATGACATGTTCAAGCACAAAACATGTTCAAGCATCACATGTTCAAGCACGTTCAAAAGACAAAATGAAGCACAAAAAGCTTCATTTCAATACACTACTTTGCATCGCCATCATATTGCCACACAAATAAGGCACAACCCTGACAAAATTCGGGGACGGCAAAAGGCACAACTCTGACAAAATTCGGCCAAGGCTACGGCCCAATAGTCACTACACTCGGCGCTAGGTTATTCTTGGTCTACTTAACCACCCGATCGAAATCAGTTTCTGGTCAGAATCTCCAGTCCGACTTTATAGTCCCTGACGAAATTTAGCGGCGTGGCAGCTTCTGATTCGAGTAATCAGAAGCTGATGCAGAACTAAAACCTGCTTCGGCGGTACATATACTAAAAAAACTAAATTCTGATTGGGGTCGCTTGAGAGTATGACAAGGGTTGGCCGAGCCTAGTCATACCGAGCTAGCAAGCTGCCCAAAGGCTGCCTCGTAAACCCTGAGCCGAAACGGACAAAGAGAAGCTGATTTACGTGCTCCCCGAGTCCTTGGCGGCCCTAATGCATGGTCGCACACGCCCCTAAATTTTGTCAAGGAAAGACTATTATTTCCTACACATTATCCACATGATCATGACTTTTGTTGCTCGCAGAAGACACAAAGACCATTATTTCCTACACATTATCCACATGATCATGACTGTTTTGTTTCTCGCCTCAGATACCAAGGCGGAGCAGCAGACGGTTGTGAGGAACACGTCACACGTCCTCAAGGACCTCGCCCTCAACACCAACTACTCCGTCTACGTGAGGGCCTTCAGCGACGTCGCCAGCGACCCTTCAGAGGCCATCGTCTTCCGCACCGGCGAGGAGAGTGAGTCGTGGTGCTGTGGTCTGCTGGGGGCTGCTGTGGTCTGCTGTGTGCTGTGGTCTGCAGTGTGCTGTGGTCTGCTGTGTGCTGTGGTCTGCTGTGTGCTGTGGTCTGCTGTGTGCTGTGGTCTGCTGTGGTCTGTTGTCTGCTGTGTGCTGTGGTCTGCAGTGTGCTGTGGTCTTCTTGGTGGTGCTGTGGTCTGCTGTGTGCAGTGCAGCGGCCTGGTTTATACTTATATTTGGTCCTATAAAAATTTTTCATCGTTGCACAATTTATTTATTTGACTAATTTATTACATATATTTAATTTATACATTTAACTAATTACTACGATTGCCCTCAGTCCCGACGGAGGCGCCGAAGATGAAGCTGAAGGTGGTGTCCCCCTCGGAGCTGCTGGTGCAGTGGTCCATGCTGCCCCCCGCCGTGGCCAGGGGCACCATCATCGGCTACAAAGTGCAGTGGAAACTACGTAAATTTCGCCAGAATGAACAAAAAGGCATATGAGAACAAATGATAGCATCAATAGAATAATGAATATTAGTGAACGATCGATATTCATCGTTCACAAAGGAGGTGGGTATACCGCTACAACTACAACGTAAAAGTCACAGTCAGTTCGTTCTTTGGAGTCAGCCAGTAAACCTCTCTACCATTCATGTGTAAATATTTCTAAATTTTGAAAAATAAATTAGAGTTTACCGTCGTGACTTGAGAGCAAGCAGTGCACCGGTACCTGTCTAAATATTTATATAATTCAGGCTAATTACGTCTTGTTCTCAAACTTCTTACTCTACCTCTGCTTATGACAATTCACTGCATTTCTAGTACGCCTTGCGCCGTTACAATTACAATAAACTGCACTAAGGGATCATGTGTGCTGCGATTTCGCTTCTAAATGAACGTGTTGTGCTAATAAAACTAATTTTTTGTTCCGTGTTCTGTCTTTCACATTAGAATATAACCCGGCATCTAGGTACTAGTACGTGGCTATATTCCTGGACGATTCAGTTCTTAATGAAAGTTGAATTTTTAACCTCAAGATTAAACAGCTATTCTGTAATTCCGTGGCCATAAAATATGAAGTGTGTTGTCCACCTTACAGACCAACCCGTGCTCTGGTTCTAATCTAATTTTTTTACAGGAACTGAGGCCAATGGACGATTCAAGGCTACTTTTGATGATTAGTACACTGTTACCGAAAAAATGATGTTTAGTAGGTATACTGAAAAATTACCGTTAACGGTATTACCGGCGTTTCAGTGGCCGGTCGGCACGTGAAAAGAAACACCGTGTCGCCGTTTTTATTGTAATTTAACACTAGAAATCCGTAAAACACCTGATGAAAACGGCGAAACAGTTTATTTTCACGGGGCGACCGGCCACTAGAACGCCAGTGGGACCGTTTTTTCACCGTTTTTAGCGCATTTTTTCATTTATGAAAAAATGAGTGCTGGAGGGCTACAGTCTGCGCTACAGACGCGAGGACGGTCAGTGGCAGCCGACCGTCACCATGCCCGCCACGAACACATCGTACATCATCGCTGGATTAGGTGCGTTCTGAGGTCATCACTCACAGAAATAAGCAATATTTTGTCCAAATGATGATGCTTTCTTGGGGCTTATGTGGGTCATCCTGACCCAGTTAGATTGTGTTACCAGTGTCATGTCCGCTCACTGTTCGTGCTTCGCGAAAGAAAGTTTTACCATTTTGATAATTTGGCTCATTCGTTTTTCTGAGTGATGTTTTGCATGATTATCTTAAATTGTGATGGATAATTTTAACTAAAGAATAGTGTTTTTTTTTAAACTTTAATGTGCCGAGAGAAGAAACTTTCTTCATTGATATTCGTATGATTTTTCTTTCTTCACCAAATGAAGAACTTTTTTATCGCTGAATTTGGCCAAATGTCTCTGCATGAAACCTTTAGATTCAACAATTAACAATTCTCCAAAAATTTTCAAGAGAATTTTTAATCCCATTTTTAACCTTTACTAAACTTTTGGTCAAGTTTTATTCATAGTTTCAATCGCTGTTCAACTTCATCAGTTCGTGAATCAATATTGCTTGAACCTATACTCTCATCTTCATTTTCTGATCAAATCCGGTGTCCGGGTTTTTGTTGCTCATTTATTTAGTAATATGAACTGAAATATCGTTGAGTTGGCTTATGATGGCTACTGAAGCCATCAAGTGGCCATGACACGACGCTTTGGCTGCCGGGGCGACCGAATACTGAGACGGTTCTCTAGCGTGGCCTGGGACTGCTACGTCCGAAACCTATATATTTTTGAACTAAGAATATGTACTGATGCTGCATGCCACATTTGGAACTAAGAATATGTACTGGTGCTACATGCCACAATATATCACTTTATCTGTCGCCCAGGGGCCGGTTGGTATCAGGTTGAGGTGCGTGGTTTCAACCTGGCGGGGGACGGCGACCCAACCCTCGAGGTCGTCCAGACGCACGCGCACAACTCCACCAGCCCCATCGACTCGCGCCTCTCTCCTGACATTGAACAGGTAATCTCTTCTTAATCCTCCTAATCCTTAATACTCCTAATCCTTAATCCTCCTAATCCTTAATCCTCCTAATCCTTAATCTTTTTCTTAATCTTTAATCTTCTTCTTAATCCTCCTAATCCTTAATCCTCCTTTGATCTTTGGTTCAGGGGATAATATGAAGAGGTAACCTCTTCTTGCTTGTTTATTTTCACCTCTGATTCAGGGGATAATATAAATTTTCTAGCAAGGTTTGTTTTGACTTATCTAAAAGAATTATTGTGAAAGTAAACGATGTTAGTCTGTCTGCAATCATTACTTAAAGTATATTTTTTTCCTATGATCGATGAATGTCGATTTTATACTTTCTGAAAGTTTTTTATTTGGAACCGCAGATCAGACGCTACATTGTAACCAGTTTTAGGTGATCTTCTGGTTTATTTGATCTGTGATCATGGCGGTCCATCTTACTTTTGTCCGTACTTTTTTTCGTACTTTTGAGCAATGAAATCTTTATACTGCTGCAGCTTGCTACTGTTTTGTTCAATCTTGCTCCTGTTTTGCTTCATGTTGCCCATTTTATCTTCAACACGCTACAACTCAGTCCTGTTTTGCTACAACTCACCCCTGTTATGGTGCAGCTTACCCCCTGTTATGCTCCATGTCGCCCCTGTTATCTTCAACACGCTACAACTGGTCCTGTTATGCTGCAGCTTGCCCCTGTTATCTTCAATATACAACAACTCACCCTTGTTATCCTACAACTCATCCGTGTTCTGGTGCACCTTGCTACTGTATCACTACATCTTGTTATCGTCAACACACTACAACACTGTTATCATGGTGCAGCTGGAGGTGGAGGTGCAGAGTCAGACGAGCGTGCAGCTGTGGTGGAGAGTAGCGGAGCAGCAGCGCAGTCTCGTGCATTACTACACCGTCCGCTACCTCGCCATCCCGCCCTCTGCCAACGAGCCCACGCGCATCGTACACAGGTTATAAGTCTTATTATTTTAGTTTATTATCATCACTTCATACATTACTCATACATTACATACATTACTCATACATTACTACACCGTCCGCTACCTCGCCATCCCGCCCTCTGCCAACGAGCCCACGCGCATCGTACACAGGTTATAAGTCTTATTATTTTAGTTTTTGTTTATTATCATCACTTCATGGGTATATTGGAACTTCAGTGTAGGTCGATAAGAAGCCTCTCGCATTGTCCACAGGTTAGGCGCCTTCTAATTTAATTTAATTCTCTTATTTTCATCACTTCAAGGGTATATTAGAAGTTGAGTGTAGGTCGCTAACAAGCCAGGCTAATTGCACACAGGTTATGCACTCTAACATTTGTACTCTTGATTTTGTCACCGTATATAGGCCCTGATTTGAATTTTAATATTGATTTTATTACCGTAAGGTTCTATATCAATTTAAATTTTTTTAATTCGCCCGCAATTGAACTTAAAATGCTAAGTTTACTAGAACATTTTTTGCATTTTATTATCAATCTTGTTTACCTGTTGTTTTACATTAAACTGACTTCACAACTGATCTCATGATTTTTCACGATGTTCAGTCTGCTTTTTTCGAAGGTTTTCAAATAGTGATGGGAAATTAATAATTTTAGAAAAGGGAATACTAAATTCAATGGATATGAGATATTTTTTGAACCGTTTGCTTTGGAAGGCATTTCTTGATGCCAAATGTGACTTGAAAATGTGACGCTGGTCATAAGCTGATGTGATGACGCTTGTCATGTGGTGTGCAGTATGGTGAACGAGGTGCTCATGTGCAGTATGGTGAACGAGGTGCTCATCACGGGCCTGAAGCCGTTCACGTGGTACGAGTTCAGCGTACGGGCGCACGTCTCCAAGGACGTCTACGGCCCCTACTGCCCCGTCGTAGAGGTGGCCACCACCGACAGAGGTAGGTGCTCTGCACTCACATAAATGTGTAGCTCATATTGTCCAACTATTGTCTTAACTCCACCACCGACAGAGGTAGGTGCTCTGCACTCACAAAAATGTGTAGCTCATTTTGTCCAACTATTGATACACTGTCTTAACGCCACCACCGACAGAGGTAGGTGATCTGCACTCATAAAAATGTGTAGCTCATATTGTTAAACTATTGTCTTAACGCCACCACCGACAGAGGTAGGTGCTCTGCACCCATAAAAATGTGTACCTAATATTGTCCAACTATTGACAGACTTTCTTCCCTACAATGTAAGCAGAGAGCGGATGTAGAATTGTTGTTCCTTTTTCCCCAACTATTGACACACTTTCTTAACTACAACATGAGGTGAGAGAGGATGCACAATTTATACCCCTTTTTCCGCTCAAAATTAGTATTACTCAGAATTTAAAAAATTCTGAATTTTTCGCAATTTTGAAAATTTTGAATTTTTTTCAAAATTACGAGGGCAGAAAATACATCGATATTTGGCCGAGTCTCAGTCATGTCTTAGTGTGCGTGCATCAGGAGAGATAAGTTTATCTCCAAATAGCGATATCTCCTCAGCTTGCGCAGTGGATTTGTAAGTGTTACTATTTAGACAATATGATCCATTTATTTATTTTAGTTTATCTTCACGGCATAGCTGTTTTGTTGATAGCGTATGACATTAGTCGAATGTTCAGCGTAGATAATATGTTGAATAGTTGAGGAGTTCAACTCCACGGCAACAATAGTGGCGTGCGGTGATAACCGATATGGGGGATTTCTTCTCGTTTTTTTGTGGATTAATTAACTAGATTTCGGCCATTATTAGAAGTTGGCTACCATTCGACGGAATAGTTTTGCAGTAATGCTCATGTAGTTGATATTTTCAAGTGAACGAAATATATACAGTAATCTTTTCGAATTTGATTTTATCAGTTCCATCAGCGGTCACGCATTTGCCAATTTACATTGAGTCGTATTACTGACATTTTTAAATCTTGCGGAAAGTTTTATACTAACGACACTAAATCCCTCAAAATTGATTTTTTCCAGTCCCAGCTAACTTCGGTCATGCATTTGCCAGTTTACATAGAGTCGTGCTACTGATATTTTCAAATCTTGCGGAAAGCTTTCTTCTGACGACACTAAAACCCTCTAAATTGATTTTTTTTCCCAGTCCCAGCGGCGCCTACGCACTTACAGTACAGACCTGTGGACGCCAGCACCGTACGTGTGACATGGCAACCTCCTTCATCACCTGCAGCAGCAGCCACCTCCTCCAGAGGACCAGTTCCTCGTCAGGCGACACCCATGCCTGCCACCTACGAGCTCCTCTACACGCAGAACAAGAGCCTTGCGCTGCCCCTCTGGACCAAATACAGCGTCACTTTTGATCGAACTGAAGCAGTGGTGAGCGATCATACTGCTTACTTAATTACTTAATTTGTTCCCTTCTTAGTTACAATTATCATGAGGTAATAACTATTAATGAGGTGATAAATATTATAAACATAATTGCTGGACCAAATACAGCGTTACGTTTGACGAACTGAAGCAGTGGTGAGAGATCGCCTTACTTATGACTTAATTTGTTCCCATCTTAGTTACAATAATCATGAGGCAATAACTATTTATCTTTCTATAATCTTAATGCATGCTCAGAAATAAAAGAAATATTATAAACATAATTGCTGGACCAAGTATAGCGTCACTTTTGATAGAACTGAAGCAGTGGTGAGAGATCGCCTTACTTATGACTTGATTTGTCTCCATCTTAGTTACAATTATCATGAGTTAATAACCGTTTATCGTTCTATAATCGTAATAAATGCTGTGAAATTGGACAAATATTATAAAAATTATTGCTATTTAATCATTTTATTTTGATGGGAATGATAAACGAGTAGTTTCTTCTAGGGAGGTTAATACTGAGGTTCTTAAGGCTTGCGAAATGCACCGCTATGAGATGCGAGAGAAGAAATGTTAAGAGATGTTCAGGTGTCAAGTGTATTGTTTGCCCGAGTATTGTTGTTTGCAGGTGTCAGGTCTCGTCTCCAACACCGAGTATTGGTTCAGGGTGCGCGGCTGCTCTCAGGACGACCGCTGCGGCGCCTCCAGCGAAGCGCTGCCTGTCGTCATCCGCGCGAGGCTCGAACCTTCGCCGTCAGGAGCCTACGCCAAGTCCAGTGAGCCACAGCCCTGTAGCTGGTCACTAGACCTCCTCCTGTAGCTGGTCACTAAGCCTACCTAGTATAAAACTATAACTGGTCAGTTAACCATAGCTGTGTTCTTTATTCTATGGAAAATCTAACAGTTGAAGAAATATTGTAAACCATCATCAAAAGTACTATGGTTACAGTGCTGATGAAAATAATAAGACAACCATTATGCATTTCTACAATGAAAGGCCCTTTTTTTCATAGATTAATAAGCCGTTTATCGTGTAGCATAACAATTGAACGTTTAACTGCATGTCCAAGTAACTATTTTTTTGTGAGATGCCAAAATGTGATCGCTGCTCTAGCCGAGTGCGGCTCCAATGAACTCACGTTGCTGAATGTTGCACTCTTAAGCGCTTAGGTTTCAGTGCCCGGCACTCAACACCATCGCTGATCCTTGACCATCACCACAACCTTAAACTAAAGGTAAAGCCAGCGTTTGTGCTGTACTGTGCACAGGTCTGCTGTACACTTACACTAAATTAAAGTAAAGCCAGCGTCGAGCTGTACTGTGCACAGGTCTGCTGAACACTTGAACCAAGTTAAAGTTAAGCGTTGTGCTGTACTGTGCACAGGTCTGCTGTACGCGCTGGTGGGGACGCTGTGCGTGCTGCTGTTCGCCACGTTCGTCATCTGTTGCCTCATCAGAGCGCGCGCCTCCGACGGCAGACCGCGCCAGACCTCCTCCGCTGCCGCCAACGCTGATGGACTGCACGTCATCAATGGAATAAGGTGCGTTACTAATACCCTTACTAATACTGCTTATAATACCGGTGCGTTACTAATACTACTTCTAACACCGGTGGGTTTCTAATACCGGTGCATTACTAATGTTACTTATAATACCGGTGCGTTACTAATACTGTTACTAATACTACTTCTAATACCGGTGCGTTACTAATACTACTTCTAATACCGGTGCGTTACAAATACTACTTCTAACACCGGTGGGTTTCTAATACCGGTGCATTACTAATGTTACTTATAATACCGGCGCGTTACTAATACTACTTATAATACCGGTAATGTTAATCCTAAAAAATGACTATGGACAAGTATCAATCTTTGTCATTGTTGCAATCTATCAGTAATGTCTCTTTGTTCAACATTGCAGAATTTTTAAGAAGTTTAATTATAATGGGCGCTTTTGGTCTTGGTTGTTGCTATTATTTTGTTGTCGGCTGTGCTGTATTTTTTAAATCCCGCCCCTGGTGACGCTGTTTCAAGCAGTTATCATTCTAATGGGCAATGTAGATGTGTATAAGAGACAGCTACAACTGGTCCTGNTTGATGCCGGACCTTCCTTGGGCGGTAGCGACGTAGTGCAAGGTCAGGTCTGAGCAGCTGTGAGTCGGTCAGTTAGTCGTGTCCCGCCAGCCCTACAGTGAGGTTCATACATGTTCTCACTCCACTCTGTCAACTCTCAGCTATTCCTTGCTCTAACGCTGAGTCGTGGCTGTGCAGTGAAAGATTAAGTAAACTGCTCCCCAATATATGTCACTCTAGTTTAACTTTTAACCGTGCCTGTTTTTTTAACTGTGCTTTGTTGAAATATAACTAAGTTTTATCCGTGTTACCGAAGTTGTAATGAACATCCCAGTGCAATAAAATGCAATCGAACTTTTTACAAGATAGTTACCGGCGTTTGGCCGTAAGAGCTCTGATCATTCTGACAAGTTTGGTAGTTGCGGCCGGCGTCCGGTGATATCAGTATATGTATTACATTTATATTTTTTTCTGAGTTATCTGCATGCTAATTCATCTTACTATCATTTATTTCTCAGTCTAAAGCTTCTTATTTATGCCCGTGTTTTGCTGCTGTGGAATTGGTAGCATTGCCGATAGATACGATGTTTTTCTTCAATCACCCATGAAAATTACATTTTAATGTTTGAAGAAGTTCTCGTTGATGAGAAGATGATCTCCCGATGTCGCTGTGTGTACTTGAAAACATTAATATTGCCGGAACTAGCACTAGCACTAAAATACAAAACTAATACATTTAAAACTAATGCAGTTAACCACTTATTCAAGTAAAAGTGTTGCATATACTCTGCCTACACTGTACTGTTGCTCTACATATCTCTACACTGTACTGTTACCTAATGTACAGTTGTCACTACTAGATGTAGCAGTAGTATTACTACTACTACCACTACCACTACTACTGCTACTTCTACCACCACTAAATAGCAATACCTACTAACTACTACCAGTACCACTACCACCACTAAAGCACTACTACTAGTTTACTACTACTACTACCACTAACACCACTACCACTACTACTACAACTACTAATACTACTACTACCACTAAATACCACCACTAAGATCTGATGTTCGCGTGTTCAGATACTCGCGTGCAGGCTGCGGTGGGGGCGGTGCGGGTGCCCACGAGATGGAGGCGTACGTGCCCATGCTCACCCAGATACCCCCAGACTTCTCCTCGGGGCCCCTAGACGCTAAGGTGGGTACTCTGGGTGTGACTGATGTACTCACAGGAATTACTGAGTAATTGTCCAAAAGACGATGTGGGTGTGACAGAGATGTGCTCAGAGGAATGAGTGAGTAATTGTCCAAAAGATGATGTGGGTGTGGCAGAGATGTACTCAAAGGAATTAGTGAGCATTTGTCCAAAAGACGATGTGGGTGTGGCAGAGATGTACTCAAAGGAATTAGTACTGATGTTCGCGTGTTCAGATACTCGCGTGCAGGCTGCGGTGGGGGCGGTGCGGGTGCCCACGAGATGGAGGCATACGTGCCCATGCTCACCCAGATACCCCCAGACTTCTCCTCGGGGCCCCTAGACGCTAAGGTGGGTACTCTGGGTGTGACTGATGTACTCAGAGGAATTAGTGAGCATTTGTCCAAAAGACGATGTACTTTTTGCCCCTTGTGTGGACCATCCTGGGCCAGTGTGGCCAGGTAACGTATACTTTCCTCTATATGGTGGGAAAGAAACTGTCACGGTTTGGACAATATTATCCATCCAGTTTTCTGAATGTGTAATGAGAGCTGATGTAAGTGAAGGTTGCTTTCCGCATAATTGTTATTTAAATTGTTTTGATATAATTAATTTTAAATTAATTAATGTAAATAAATTGTATTGATTCTTTAGCTTGTGGATTTTCGTGGAAATTGGAGCTGGTGGAAATTTCGCATCCAAAATTAAAAGCATTTAATCTTTTTATTTCTTGACCGTGTAGAAAAAATGGAAAATCTTTGTATCCTAAATTAAAATTATTGCAAAATTTTGACCATGTCAAGCAAACGGAAAATATTTTGTCTGCTAAATTGCAATGATATTTGCCGGTCAGGGCGCCTACACGGACCACAAGATCGTGAACGGCTTCACCAACCCGCGCTGCACCAGCCTGCCTTCCTCGCCCCTCGGCAGCGCTGCTACATCGTCCCTCACTCAGGTGACCTGTTATACAGGTGACATGTCATACAGGTGACATGTTTCATACAGGTGACATGTTATACAGGTGCTATGTTTCATACAGGTGACATGTTATACAGGTGACATGTGTCATACAGGTGACATGTTTCATACAGGTGACATGTTATACAGGTGCTATGTTTCATACAGGTGACATGTTTCATACAGGTGACATGTTTCATACAGGTGACATTTCATACAGGTGACATGTTATACAGGTGACATGTTATACAGGTGACATGTTATACAGGTGCTATGTTTCATACAGGTGACATGTTTAATTCAGGTGACATGTTTCATATATTTCATTTGTTCTCAGGTGCCATATTTCATACAGGTGCCATATTTTATACAGCGTAATTCGGTCCTTTTGTTGAACCATTTTGCTATTGTATAACTGGTAGTTTACGATTTATCAGAGTTTACGATTTATTCAGATTTTTGAAGTGTGGGTAAAATTTTGTGCTGTGGTCTGCACCTGCGGTGTATAGCTACATTTTTTGCCGTTCTTTTAGAGAATTATTTTTTGCATTCTGATTTTTTTCCACGAAGAGAATTTCTAAAGTTGCGCTTATCTTTTCTTCTGCAATAAAATGACGTTTCTGCTCTAACGAAAGTTGCTGTGTTGGCAGGGTGCCGGCGGTGACGCGGACGTGAGTGCGGCGCTGCTGCACCAGCACAGCAACGGCACTGCGGTGCCCCTGCGTGTCGAGCCCCGCCACTGCGTCAGGAGCCACCGCGACGAAGACTCACTGGAGACCAGCCATCGGTTCCCTGCAGGATACCACAGCCGGGCTGGGGGAGTACAAAGAGAAGACGCGTCCTCTGATCCTAGTGCGTGTCTGCTGACCGCTGAAGACCGTGAAGCTGTTGTAATATGTCCGCCGTGTACCCGAACAACTGCAGACCGTGAGCAACTTAACAACAAAGAAGACGACGTTAGAATCGAGTTAATAGATCGACCGAAGTCTCTTCATGTCCAGGAGGATGAGCTCAAAAACAGCTCTCGGAATGAACTAGAAAATGACGTGAGAATATCATCTCGATCTGGCGCGCCCCAAGCGCCGGACTCTCGTATACCTGACAGCAACGACACCGCGACCTGCACTGCAAGCGAGCTCTCCCGACTTGGTTTTGCTGATCCGTTCTGGACGAATAGTGGTAGTACCATTAGTGGTAGCACCGTCAGTGGTAGTGATGGTGGGGGTAGTGATGGTGGTGGCAGCGAGGGCATGGACCCATTAAGCAGCAGTTGCAAACTGCTTGCCAATAATAATAACAATAATGACGGCAGTCGTAGCAGCTTGGAGTGCAACGGCTTGCCTTCTTTACCGAACCGAGAAGCTGTTTTGCGAGCAGGTGAAGCTGTCGCTGCCTCTGTATCCTAACAGCTACCGGAGCCCTGGCAGCTCCTATTCCTAGGGGGGAAAGCTTCCTAGCTTGTCTATTCTCCGGCGAGGATAGGCTAAGTTTCTTAGCTTCCCTCCCCTTCATAAGACGGGTAATTTAGTTAAGGAAATCACCGGCGCTGGCTGCGGAGGTTGTGGTCGGCGCATCTTGTCTCCACAATACAGTTGCTGCATACAACTTCTCATTATTGCTACTTAGTCCATTTCGCTGGCCAGGTTTTTTGTTATTTTTGTGGATTGTCGTGACCTGATCATTGTTTCCGTTCTGTGGTGTAACGCGTGCATTAAACGACTCTGTAACTAATTATTTCCATTTAAATCAACTGTACAGCGCTGCCCCTGGCATGAATGTAAGCAATACTCTCAGGGCGCCGCCACTCACCCACCTCTCAGTATGATGGCATTATTATTGTGCTCAATTGTCTAGTATGTTATTGATATTGCGTGCATGCAAATACTTGGTTTCTGCTGCGTTTTAGATTATCCAACAACTGGTTAGTTTTCCCCAAAAACAGCATTATCCCTCGTGACTTGTTCATAGCTGCCTTCATACGCTAACACGTACTTCCTCTTCATTTGCCTCAAGGAACAGTTTCAACTTGGCGGCGTTAAGTAACTGTGCAGTATACCTGGTGTGTTATAACTCACCATGGCTGCTGTAACGGTAACCTTCCATCTCTTCCTTCTCCGCTGCCGGAATTTTACTAGCGCGTTAGGCCGGAGGTCTTAGCGCGTCAAGCTGGAGGTCTTAGCGCGTTAGGCCGGAGGTCTTAGCGCGTTAGGCCGGAGGTCTTAGCGCGTTAGGCCGGAGGTCTTAGCGCGTTAGGCCGGAGGTCTTAGCGCGTTAGGCCGGAGGTCTTAGCNGAGACAGCTTACATTGCGTTTTGTGCTGCATGCGTCCAGCGTCCCGCCCGCTGAATTTTTTTTAAATGCCTCCGCCTGTATTGCTTCAGTAAAATTCAGTTGGGTCTCCTGATTCAGTCGAGTCAGCTCCAGTTCAGTCGATACCCGCCTGTTCAGTCGAGTGCCTGCCTGTTCAGTCGAGTGCTCGCCTGTTCAGTCGAGTGCTCGCCTGTTCAGTCAAGTCCTCACCTGTTCAGTCGAGTGCTCGCCTGTTCAGTCGAGTGCCGCAAGAGGTCCGACGATCAGGAACTGTTTCTAAAGAGCGACTTGCTCGTTTATCTTCACCTCATGTGAATATGTACAGAAACCTTCAAGTTTCTTGATGTACAAAAGAGAAGTTCAAACTTACAATAGTCTTCGCAGCAAACCACGGACGCACTTGTTTTCCAGTAAATTTGCGCTCGGTTGTCTGAACACGGCAGCTGTTCCTCAGACATCCTTAATATAATAATTTCAGTTTAAAGCATCTCATACTTTAGAATCCTACATTTCTTTTTCCTCTCCTGGTTTGGAATGCCTTGGTAGTTTTTTACTTTCATTATATTTTTCGTCGTAACGGTTGTGTAAAATTCACGAGATTGGAATGTATTCTCTGGCTCAATCCTTACATAGGAACAAACTGGTGCCTCATGTCCTGCATTCCAGTCCCTCATTCACAGCTATGATCTTTAGTTTTGATGCAAATAATTAATTATTAATATTTACTGTTGCTGCACCTCCTGCTGGTTACTTCTTTTCACGCTAATTTTTTTCCACTCTGGCCCCACTCTGAAACGGCGCCAATTTCCCTTATTAGTTCGAATCTTTATTTGAGTATCCGTGGTCGTTTTTCCTTTGAAAATTAACTTGACAGTTATTGAGGCATGAATTACTTGCAGGAGTTATTGTAGTGTTTTTTTTTATATTTAGTTTCTTGGCTATTCCTTCATTACTTAACCACCTTTGAAGGAGTGATGGTTGTCGTGGTTTTCAATATTTGTTAATGTCTGCCGCAGCTTATGAAATCCTTCCTCTGTTAATAAGTTTTTAAAGAGTCGGGCATTTAGAATTCGTCATGATATTTGTATGATATGGTCATTTTTCCATGAAGCTCTATGATTGTATTCTCTGCAGTTTCATCAGCAGTAGTTTATTTTCCATTTGTTTTCTCCGTCATAACTTATTTTGAGATCACAACTCCGACATGAGGCTCTGCTCTTCGTGGTCGGCTGTTATTAAAGGGCGGTTGACCTAGCCATGTCACGAATGCCTTCAGTACCTGCACCATGTTTTCAAATTGTAGCGGCATCGTTCTCTGCTAGTAAGTATAGCTTCATACGTATTTGCGAACGAGGCTTCTTGTATTTTCTTATGTAGCTGAGAAGTCATGTAAAATGGTTCTCCATGTCGACATCCCATCGTGTTCGCCTCTTAGGATAATAATGGTTGCTGTAGCATTGCCGCGCCGTACCTCTGTTTCTTAGTTGCCAGGTTTGACTGTTGTGTGTGGTAGTTATTGCGTTCTTTTCTTGCATATAAACAAATAAGTTCCAGCCGCATGTCTTGGAATCTCAGGGAGCCTTTATTGTACAAACCAATCACGAGACTCGGCTTGGCTATTTAAAATATTACGATGATTTTTTTTAACGTTCATGCTACTGACGCCTTCTGAGGGAACGGGTGCTGGAGCAGCGGCGGTCGACGCTCCGAAAAACGTCGTTCTTGTTGTATTTCCCTTTTGTATACACGGTTCCTTCTTCAAATTGCTGCAGCATGCGTGATGCTGAGATGCGAGGGTGTCGTTGCTGTATAAAGTGCGATCTGTAACTCATAAAATCTTTTTCTCAGCCGTTAATCCCATCGAAAGTTGAATTCTGACACCTCCGCGTGAACATGAACCGGCATGTTATGCATACATACATCATTAACGTTCTCTTCTGTCGTCTAATAAGAAACTGCGCAATTTTAAGACAGAAGAGAAGCTGCATTCTTCATTTCTATTCTCTTACTTCGGCAATTGCTTTAAGTTTCTGATGAAATTTAAGTTTGAATTTTTGCATTTGTTTTACTGCGTTCGCAGTCACGGGGCTCGCATGCTAAAAATACGATAAGAAATGGAGTTTGAACATTGCTTGAAATCGCTGTCTGACGAGAGATTTAATGTGTAACCATAGTTGCAAGAACTCGTGCCCTGATACAACTGACGTCAGCTTCCTTGTATTGGAGTTAATGTACATGTCGAAATCGACTTGAATGATTCCTGCTGGACAATTAGGTGTTGCACAGCGAGGAATGAAATGGGATGTGAAGGCCTGTTTAACGCATTGCTTAAACAGAGGTATGTTATTGCAACAGAAAGTTCTCTTGAACACAAAGACTCCAAATCTCTGAGAAGTGTGCATATTTGTGTGCCGAATTCGATTGCAAAGCCATGAGAACGAGCACGACTTGCAGAGCGTCTGCCCAGTAAATTTGAAAAACAATTTGATGAGTCAGGATGTGGCTCTTTTTAGGCAACGGTGGCGGTGTTAGGTGGTTAAAGGAGCGTTGATGAGCATTAAGTAATAATAGTTATAACTAATAATGCTATAGGTTAATACTTAATATTCGCAGAGTGTTGAAAGATTGTAATACGGCCAGCACTGTGTGAAAAAAAATCTTACGTGTTTTTCCGAACCTAATGTAAGAGAATGGTTTAAAAAAAAATAAGGCTATACGGCAAGGATTCACGAGCTGGACCTACGACTGGTTTACTTAAGCACCTGATTTGTTGTTCATAATTTTTCGCAAGAAACTTGTCAAAAGGACTCGCACTGTTTCTATATGAATTTTATTTATTGTTGCAATATTTAATTGCGGTGTAAACTTTGTCGATAGGCGATAGTTAATTAACTTAATTGCTAGCGAAAACAAGCTCCTCGAGGTTTTCTAATTTGCGTCGCGTTTTGTAGCACTATTACCGGTATTATTGAATTACTGGAAATGGTAGTTACTAGATTGATCTATTTGTTATTTTAGTGGCAGTGGCGGTGAAAATGTTCGAGGAAAGGATTTGAAAGACTGAACCCTTCATGGTCGTTGAATGTGTTAAACGATAGTGACTGAGTGCAGCGCTATATAATCATTGGCACACTATCATTATGACGGCTAACATCTTCTATTGTTGATAATTTCATTAAGCAATTATAGATTCATTTGCTATTGAAATATTTCCTATGTCGAGACTCTGCTCTGCTTGATGACAGTTGCATAGGCCTCTACCACGTGCAGCCTCTTAACACTTTCTATAAATCATCGAAGGTGCGAGAAAAATTCACATGCAGAATTTCAGTGAATCAGTCTACGCGTAATTAAATGTAATTCATCTAAGATTAATACGGTCATCGTGGCCGACTTCCTCCATATCGTCTCCTGAACGCTGACGGACGGACAGTGTCCAGAGTGTCAATGGTTTTGCTAGTCTTAAGTTCAAAACTAAAATTATTAGTGGTAGATGTTGAAATTGTAATAATTCGTGTACAAAGATTGGCTGATACATTTATTATAATTGGTTGTTACTGTAATAAATTGTTGCATCGGGAAAGCTTGGCTTTCAAAGCGTAGAGATCAAACAGAGCTGACTGTACAAATCTATTAATTTGTGAAAAGATTGATCGTAGTATTATATATCTAGAAGGAACGCTACTAATAATGATAATATTGGTACAAAATCTAGCTGTTAAATTTGTATTAGAGTAACTTGGAGCTTTGAGGCTTCGCGAGCGGTGCCTCTGGGAGACGTTATTTGGGTCTTCGTATGCCGGGATATGGTTTGTCATGCCGAAATTTTTTTATTATTTTTAATTACTTCGATATTTTATCGGCGCAGCATCCGTTTCTTAGGGAATAGTTACATTTATTTCTATGAGAGCGAGTATGCACTATTGGTTTAGCTTGTGCCGTTCATCTCGCGGAAGTCGTTTTTCAGGTGACAATTTTACAATACCCATAGCTCATCCACATTCAAGATGAATATCACAAATGCTTTCTCAGGATTTCCTTCTGTATACTCGAAGGTTTAGTTTCCATAAATATGTATTTTTGTTTTTGTCTACGCATGCGTGCTGCTGTCAATGCCAACATAGCGATACGGTTTCAGATGATCATTCCTGGCATAGTGTATAGTTCAATATCATACAGAAATCTGAATCATTTTTTCAGTCATATTCTGATTGTTTGAAAACAGCGATACGTTCCCAGCGATCATTTCAACTTCTTACTACATAATTTCCTTGATTTTGCAACTTGTTGATATTGCTCAGCTGTTCTCTAACGTGTTCATTCCTTATGGCGGCACCATGTATTCTTAGCGTCGAACAACCAATTTCCCTGAACCTATATTCTTAATTTAGCAGTCATGCTATCATTCGGGTCTGCTGATTCTCACTTAGTAGCTCTCAACTGTGTAGATCTGTAGATGTTCTTACTGATATGTTGTGCTGTATACTTTCGTTTGAATACCAATTATCGTTGTCAGGTTTGATTCGAACGCATCATCGTTTTTGGGAAATAACTTTTACCTCGTGAAGTGAGCGCTGAGCTTCCTCGTGTTACGATGTTATCTGAGCCGCAGCCTCAGACACGAGAGACACGCTGTGTCTCCTGCCAGAGAGGGAGGTGTTCACCCATCCATAGATAACTTCATGAATTTATGCACAGTGTGTCGATATTCAAGTACAAATGCAAGTAATCTTTTGTGCTCTTCGATGTTCTCACAACCATTGTGCAAAAACGATTGCTAATTTATTCGTTAGGTCTTAGGTTTTGTGTGTGCGTGTCTTGGTTGTCAGTTGACGATCTTGCCTGGAATAAATTTGCCTTTTTTGTCCTTTTAGTCGTCTTGTGCCTGAGACTCGCCTGCCAGCGTTCCAAGTCATGAGCGCTTTTGTCACTGACAGACTGACAGATATTGCTATATTATTATAGAAAATCAAGCGTAAAGCCGCTGAATACTTCCTGTAATTTCTTAGCGAGTGTGACTCAGAATCTTTACATGTTGCCTTCAAAAAACGAACAGGATCGTGAGCGTAGTTTTGGTTGCGATAAATACGACGTTTCCGCGTAGGACTTAAGGCAGGGAGCATGTTTTTGTACCATACGTTTAGTACATTTGCCGTACGTCTCAATTTAGTTGATCGGGTCGGGTATCTCAGCCTGATGTTGCCTCTAATGCCAAATAGCAGCGTAGTTTACAGGCGGTGTAGTCTCCTCCAGGGCCTATACTTTCAAAAAAAGTTAAGTAATCGTAAGTTCATCAGCCAATCATTGACGGCCTTTCAAGCAAAATCCACCAATCATAGACAAGAAAATAGAGCGTAAGTACTTACGTTCACTTAGCGAGTTTTGAAAGTATGTCCCCAGGGCCGTGTGGTCGATCAGCCTTCCTTCTCACCGAGCTCTCACGGCTCGTCGTGGGGTAGACATTCGGCTTATTGTCAAACCCTTGATAACGTACAAATTATTATAGAGGTCAGGTGCTTAACAAACTTTAAAGTGCTTGCTCATAGAAGATTTTGAGCTGTCGTATTGCTTTCAATTCCACAACTTGTACATTTTACAAATGAGTTTTGCGTTGCATCTGTCACAGACGCAGTGAGCCACTTCTAGACTCTCGCTATGATATCTTTGCTCTGAATGGAAGCATTTCGTCAGCTGGATTTCTTCACAGCATCAATGGAGTAACAATGCTTTAGGAAACTGGCGGATTAAATTTTAGGTGCGGCCTCCTGCATGGCCATGGATTCTCATTTGGATTCCGGACTGCCAATATTGGCTTAACGGCGGCTGCCCTGTCTTTGTTTCTTTGCGTCTGCGATGCGTTTGTCCTGTAAATTACTGAATTTTGTATTCTATCATTGTATTGCATTTAAGTTAGAAAATTTTGCATTTCGTTTGAATCACTTAGCTAAACCAACTGTGCTTAGTTTAGAATTGTCAAACGACCTGTTGTTATTTGTTTGTAAAAATGACATAATTGTACAATGACGACCAATGTGTCCAGTTTGTGTCCCAGTAAATTACATTATCTTCGTTCTCGAGCCTGAAAATATAGAGCTTGGGTTTAATCCCAGTACTCCCGTTTGTCTTAACATCACTGTTTATTTTTGTTGTTGTTGATCTTAGCATCGGTATAGTAATTGTCTTTACAATCAAAGATTTGGAAGTATCGGTTTGTTTTATGTTGCCGGTAGCTGTAGTGGCAGTCTGGATTCCGCGACGTGCTCAGGAACAACAGTTGTCATCTTCCGTATGGGCGCCCCGCGTCCGCAACTACAGGAATATTCCACTTTGTGTGCCCATAATTGTATGCATTCTCATGATCATGTTCCTTTATTTTTATAGCTTAAGCAATGATGCTCTTGCCTCGATCCGGGTATTTTTCAGTGCCGCTTCTTAGGTGGCACATTGTCCCGAAAATGGAACATCAATGAATGATAAAAATTGACGATATAAATTGTAAAATGTTGGGTTAATTTTTCCAGGTTTGTTACATTTATTCCAGGCATTGATGTATTGTTTCTATGTGACGTGCTAACAATTATTTCTAGAAAGCATCAAAGTTGTATTCGATCATTTCAGGGCCGAACTCTCCATTTAGTTTCAATTCTTGTTAAAACCTCTAATGCATTCCTGCCTCCGCCATTTCACGAGAAAATTTCTAAACTCCTTTACGATATATATAACCAATACTTCGCTCATTATTGATTAGCACATTATTAAAATGATCTTGTGTGCTCATTATTTATTAGCACATTACTAAAATGATCTTGCGTAAGTATTTTTATTCATTTTATCATTTAATTCAGGGAACTGTCACATAAAAATAACGTATGAGTGCGAAGCTCGTATGTTGGTCTACCTCAAAGTGAATATCTATTCATATAACTTGAGAACTCGAGTGTAAGAGAGAACGAAGGGCGCTTCATCGAATGAAGTCGTGGCCGTGCAACTGAACGATTCGCGGTTAATGTCTTTCACTAATTGGAATTAACACTTGTTTAATGATGAACGAGGTATACAAACTATATATTTGATATGCTCTTGTATCCGAGTTTATCAGCTAGGAAAATTCAAGAAAATTTCAAGTTTTTAAATAGAATTTATACTGAAATTTATGGTGTACAAAACTACTTGCTTGCGCCGTGTCCACGTGGCCATCGCTAGAAGTGTGCTTCCATTGGCACTTTAGCTCAAAATGTGGCAAGGTTTAATAATTATTAACTCACTTATTCATTGATGAAGCGTTCCTTCGTTTGGTGTGTGGATGAATGCTGTAAGGGTAGTTGCTGTTAGCCTATTGTTCATTATCCCGTACGTCGCGACTCTTTCTGCAGTCCGCCTTCTCGGAGGTACTTCTACGGGTTATGCTAACTATGAAGCTCTAAGCTATACAATGAAATATTTAACAAGCCCCTAATAAATTTTAATGATCTAAACCTGCGTTTTTTTCACTAATCTCGTACATCCAGGCTACTTTCAAGAGGGTTAATTGCTAAAAAAAAGACCCGCTGATTTTAGTTTTCTTGGTTTATATAGTTGATGGATAGGAAATAATTTGACGAAATTTCTGAACATGCTGCCTGAAATTCAAAATGACGATTCTATGTTCAGTTTTGCTAGCGTCGGTACCTTCCTGGACTCTGAGAAATTCTTTCATGCTTATTTGATTTTTCTGGGAAGGTTTATTCTATTGAAAACTTCTACGAATGAGAATGATGTTGACGAGCTAAACATCATCGTTAGGTCCTAATGAATACGTGTACCAAATTTTATCGAGCAACGTTCATTACTTTGGGAGATATTACATGCTCACAGAATTTGGGGAGACCGGCCGCAAGTCCGGCCGTAAATTTGTCCGAGACGTATACTGCAACGAATAATTAATTCAGCATTTTATTTGATAAAGTAACATTTCTGCTGTCATAAATGAGAAAACGCTGTGGTATCAATTAATCATGGTGAAAAAATATGATTTCAATCTCTTACAGTCGTATTTTATGAAAATTATACAAAATGGTGCAAGTGACAATTTTTCATGTGTAATTCATTGTGCTAGTCTTCACTTTATCTGAACAACAAATTTATCATGAACCGTTCTATCTAACTTCGACCGTTCTTCAGTATTAATTTGATAGTTTCTAACTGTAAAAAATATACCTTCTAGAAATAGCGTCTGCAGGTGCGGATCAAGTGCAAGCCCTAAGTTCACATTCAATCTAGGTATCTTTTTTGTATTCGATAAATAGCTAAGTAGAGTGTGGCAGTGTGCCCCATGCAGTACCTCGTGTGAAGACTCGTCAGTCGTCACTAATGTAACGTGTCTTGAAGTTTCGTTTTGACTATAGACATAATTGTTATTATTACTTTATAGCGCATAATTTAATTTTCGTTCTTACAAAACATCAGCTGAAATGAACGAAATCGCCGAACAAAAAATATCGTCTTTCAAGGAATTGGTAAGTTTGTTCGTTTCTAATACAGTAGGCTAGTACCTAATTGTGATATTTATTTCACTGTTAGTACCTACCTGCGGCTGCAGGCTGCATGGCTGCATCAATCATTTAATTAATGTTGTATTGAAATTTTGAATAAAAAAACACTTGAAATTTAGGCTAATGCACGATAATTGCAAAAAACAACTAAAGTCAGTTGACAAATTTTCAATAGCAATAAGTTTGAAGTTGTCACTATACTTAATTCACTATAGTCAAATGGGGTAAGACAGGATCGCAGCCTTCATGGGGTAAGAAAGGACCAGCCCATGGCGTGAATTCTAATTGCACTGAATTTTATTTGACAAAAGAATATGTTAGAACAATCATTGCCTGTCATTTTAGTGTTTGTGGCAACCCTTTTCTGCAAAAAACAAATTTCTGGCTAATTTTTAAAGAAAACCTATGTAAAGAAGGGTCACAAAATAGTTAACCCTGTTTGGGATATAAGCTCTGTCTAATGACAAAAAATTTTTTGGCCAGGTTTGTGGATGTAGGCAGGTTACCTCAATTAATACCACTGTGCAGAGAGTGGATGAATATTGCAAGATCTTTGGCGATGCTTCAGTAGCCAAATTTTTTCCTTCAGAAGATCTTGCCAACACATTTAGATTGAAATTCTTGCATTTAATATATTTCTCAGTCTTCGGCCAACTATTTAGAAAAAAAGTAAGGTTTCCGGTACGTTGAATGGATTACGATGCAGCGAAGCTTGTCCGGAAATCAGTTGCGATGAGTTCCCGCAAAAAATGTAAACAATGTTTGTTTGATTTTGTAGTTTCAGTCACATTAGAGCGGTCAGACTGCTTTATTACATGTTCAGTTGACACTTGCTGTACAATCGGACTGTTTTTAGAGTAAAATCAGTTATTTGGGGTAACACGTGCATGCAACCTTGTAAATAAGTTCGTGGCTTGTAAATAGTTCGTCATTACTCAGCGTAAATGGCTTTCCATTAAAAATTACCCGGCGACGCATCTTTAAAATGGCCGGCGTCGCTTTGGGCTTAAAAATCCATATATTGGCGATGCTGCATCCACCATCTGCATAGTGGAATTAATAGGCAACTTTTTAGACATACTAGGCATTCCTACCTGCTACCATCACTGCCTGACATGTATTCTAAAATGGGGTAAAAAAGGACAGAAGTGTATGAATAAAACCTAAGAAGTATACAACTGAAGTCCGAGCTTCATCTGCATTGCAGTTACCATATCCACCGGTTGCGTGAGAACTAAGTCAACTAACCAGGCTGAGCCAAAGCTTTTCCCTCCAGCTTCGTTTCACACGATTGCTACTGCATGCAATGCATGTATAACATTTACGACCATTATTAAACCATTCTGTTGAATGTCCATTATCATATTGTTGGTATCTCTGTCACGTGTCACCTTCTATTTTATTGTTTCGGTACAGATGGTACTCCTGAATCCTGATCGCAAGTAGTTTTCATATCTCAATGCTGGAAACTTTCATCAGTTTTTTATTTGTTGATGAATTCATAGGCAGTTTTTCATGTATTTGTAAGTGAATGTACAAAGTTAAGATGTTATTCTTTGCGATTTTCATCAATAGTGACATAACTACATTATTGTTGTAGGCGCTTGAAATAAGAAATGTGGCATTACCCATTAAATTAGCATTAGTGCGTTAACAATGTGTGCATTTGGGGCGGTCCATTCTAGCTTTCTAACGCTGTTTGGATTCCAGTGGCAGTGACGTTGCACGCGNCTGTTCTGTAACGGGAAAGTAGCTGAGTAAGTCTTCGTATTGACGTCATTATTTTTCAGAGGCTTGGACATCGAGGGCGTGGACTGGGTGATTAACTTGGACTTGCCAATGAGCACCAAGGACTACATCCACCGCGTGGGTCGCACTGCCCGAGCTGGCAAGCAGGGCCAGAGTATTACCTTCACCACTCAGGTCAGTTGTAGGCTTCACTGGCATGTATACCTTGGCGTGTAGACTTTTCTATATCTGTTGTTTTATTTACCGAGATTTAGAGCCTTTCATTATTCCTCTTCCACCACGACCACCATCGTGGTTGATCAATTCCTGTCTCTTATACACATCTAGATGTGTATAAGAGACAGCTGCAACTCCACCTCATGTTTTTGACAGGGTGTGGTCCAGGAGCTGTGTGATGCTTGTGAACGCGTAAAATGGAGAACCCCTACACCGATTCAAGTGAAGGCCATTCCTGCAGCATTAAATGGTGTGGTAGCTACTTTTTGTCTTCAGTATCTTCTTCTATTCATATTTAACACTTGTAGAGATTTAAATTAATGTTGAAACATTTCATTTAAATTGTAAAAATATATTTAAATTTGCTACTGAATTAAGTAAATTTCTTTCTTCTCTCAACTGATGCTTGAATCTATTCTCTATTGCTAATATTATTTCATTGGGGATTTGTAACCAACTGGGAAAAATTGTAGCTTTGCATAAATTGCTTCTGAAGTTGTGTGGGTAGGTTTGTCCAGTGTGTAGTAGGTCAACCTGGTGCTACAGGGCAATCTGGTGTGATTTTAAAATTCTGTTTTCTGAAAATTGAGCTTTGTTCTAGAATGATGTCCCAAAATAAATGATTGATAGCATAGATGCCATCAAAAATCATTAACTTGCTAGAATGTAATCTTTTCTTTTCTTTGATAACAGGTTTAATGATCACAATCAAACATGCTCTGAAATATTTCTAAAATTATTCCAAGAAGCATGTATGATAATTTTCAATATTTTGATCATCATGTTTATTCATTTTTTGTGCCCACTAACTCCAAATTTGAAGTATATATTTACAAAATTATTTTATTTTGATTTACCTACACTTGGAGTAAAATTTATTGCATTTTATGTTTAAAAATTCTCCTACAGGAGAGGGGAACTATAAATTGTTATTTTACAAAGGAAGCGCTATGCCAATTCAGCAATTTAATGAGACATTTAAATTGAATTTAGTGTAAAATTTATCATTTATATGTTGGATTTGGTGGGCATATGACAATTCTCAATAATGTTGCATTGGTTTTGGTGAAAATGAAAGGAGTGTCATGAGAACACCTGCAGTCACACCCTACTGGAAATCCTGAATATATTCACTGAATAACAGATGAATGATTCCAGGAAACATCATGTTTGGGAATATTTTTGGCCAATTTATTGCAAAAATTTAAATGGAAAATCAACTAAAATTTGAAGTTTAGGGTGCTAATTTGTTTGCATATTTTCAGGTCGGGATGTGATTGGTCTTGCAAAGACAGGTTCTGGCAAGACGGGGGCATACACTATACCCATGTTACAGGCTCTGCTTGCTAAACCTAGCAAGTTATTTGCTGTCGTGCTAACTCCTACCAGAGAATTGGCTTTTCAAGTCAAGGACAACATTGAAGCTCTTAGTGAGTAGCATTCTTGTAGTGGACACCAATTTTGGCCTAGAGGAGTAAACTCTGAAGAGTCTTGCAACAAATATCATAAAAGCTAGGACAAATATACTACCATTAAATATACCTACCCACTCTGCATTTTTAAATTTTATTGAATTAATTGCTTCTCTGATGGCATTCTAGTCATAGAAATAATATATATATCATCTATTTTTTATTTTGTTTCATAAATAGCTATTTTAATTTTGTTTTTCATGACCATTTGTCCATCTTCAATTAATTTCAAGACATCCTAAAGCATAATGTTACAACGTTTGACAGCACATTTTGTTCTAACTTGACTGTTGTTAACTATCATGTTTGTGACCACTTCAGGCTCTAGGTTTGGAGTGAAGGTAGTAGTGCTCACTGGTGGCATGGATTACAAGGTTGAGAAGACTAAACTTATGGAGAAGCCGCATATTGTGGTGGCCACTCCTGGTCGATTGCTGGATCATCTCAAGCGCACCCGAGGCTTCAATCTTGAAAATGTCAAATATTTGGTGGGTGTCAGAATTTGAAAAAATTATGGTGTACTATAGAGTACTGATGTACCTAATATTCTAATTATCAATTAAATTTCTTAGTGACTTCTGTAAGTAGTATGTTATGGCAAACTTTTTATTTTGAAAGATGTAATTTGTGTACATGTGTTTTTGATGAATTGTGAAGTATGGATTGTCTTTGATCTTTGATGTACCTGATACTTGAACACCAACCAGTTGAGCTGTTTAGTAACTTCTGGATTTAATGACATTGTGTATATTATATACCTACCTAGTTATTTGAGAAGTTGTGTCATATGTATTAATGAATTTTGATAATGCTTTTTTTCTAGGTTTTTGATGAAGCTGACAGAATTTTAGGCGTTGATTTGGAAGAACACATGAATGATATCATCCGCGTCCTGCCAAAGAATAGACGAACTATGCTCTTCTCGGCAACTATGAATAACAGCGTGAGTAAAAATGCAGCGCTCTGTTGCGTTACATTGATGAGGTGGTATTGCAATATGATAAAAACGTGATATTTCCCAACTCTAACCTTCATTTCTGTGGGACTACATAAGGACAGATTTAGTCAGTGTTATGATAAAAAGTAGGCTGTTTAAATGACAGAATTGTTCTAAGGATTTTTAAATTGAACTTGACAATTTTGAATTTCATTTTGAAAAGCATTGGAATATTTTTACAAACTATGTAAATGTGGGAATACACATAAAATACTTGAAATAATTTAGTGCAGATTGTTTCTAGAAACTCTGGACTCAATCATATTCATATTTTCAACTTGAAAAACTGTTAAGCAAATATATAGGTACCTACTGCTTGCTCACTCCTCGAACTCAACTATGTACTATGATATTCACCAGAAAAGATGACCCTCGAGTTTCTATTTTGAATACTCTATGAAATTCATTTCACTTGACAACTTTTTGCCATAAATTTTTCCTCAGGCCCAGAAACTGGAGCGGGCATCATTAGTGGACCCTGTAAAAGTGAAAGTTAACGAGCTCTACCAGACGGTGGATACACTGCAGCAGTACATGAAGCTTGTACCGGAACAAGAGAAGGTATATAATCTCAAGCTTTCAATAGGTCTCGAGTTAATTACTCGCAGGGAATGGCACACACAAAATCCTGTAATATATTTTACAACGTCCCGCAGCATGCGCCTTTACATTGACTGCTGCTAACATGACCAAACGATAGACAATGAATTTGGTTACAAGTCAATAACTTTTGCTTTATCTCTGACAAGCATTCGTCTCCCCACACGTCTCTTCATTGTGATCTCTGCCGAATGTTATTTTATATTTTTCAGTTTTTTAAATTCTTCACGCTATTTTTAGTTAGTTTGTAGATCTCAAATCCTCGTGATCTTGCGGCTGGTTCTTAATATAGGTAAAATATTGTTATTAATATGTTATACCACTTACGTCTCTACAGTCATGAACTTACATGTGTTCTGATCCAGACTTTTACTCATCAATGCCCAGCATCAAGACAAGTATTATTTGAATTAAATTCCATGTGCAGATTGCTCACCTTGTGTGGTTTTTGAACGATGCCAAAGCACACAAACTGCAAGACAAAACATTCATTATTTTCTGCGGCACGCGGCGACGCACGATGGCGGTCCACATCACCCTCACGCAGCTCACGTTCAAGTCGGTGCCGCTCTTCGGTAAAATGCTGCAGAGCAACAGGCTCGCCGCCCTCCACAAGTTCAAGGCAAACCAACGCAATATTTTAGTGGCAACCGACGTGGCCTCCAGGTAAATTTGTGGCTTTGATCAGTATAACCTCATATGGGGCCAAAGTGATGCATACGATGTCTTTAATGTCATTCATATAAATTAAAGCATTGCATTTACGCTTACATATCTACTAGTGTGTACTGAACTCCCTTATTGGCAAGTTTTTATATTGAACTGTATTCGATCTAAATTTTTAGAAATATATAAGGTTTCCTTTTTCTCCTCAGTGGTAATTGCATTGATACTTTCCTCACCGCTGTTCTGTAACGGGAAAGTAGCTGAGTAAGTCTTCGTATTGACGTCATTATTTTTCAGAGGCTTGGACATCGAGGGCGTGGACTGGGTGATTAACTTGGACTTGCCAATGAGCACCAAGGACTACATCCACCGCGTGGGTCGCACTGCCCGAGCTGGCAAGCAGGGCCAGAGTATTACCTTCACCACTCAGGTCAGTTGTAGGCTTCACTGGCATGTATACCTTGGCGTGTAGACTTTTCTATATCTGTTGTTTTATTTACCGAGATTTAGAGCCTTTCATTATTCCTCTTCCACCACGACCACCATCGTGGTTGATCAATTCCTAATTACAGCTGAATTCCCGTTGGCGAAAGTGTATTCTCTTCACAATTAGTATTGCTATGTTAAAATCCTATTTTTCCAAATTCATAATTCAAGTCTTTCGATAAAAATTATCTGGATTCATGGTGTGAAAAATTGCACAAAAGTTCAAATAAAGTTCATCTGTGCCTGAAAAAGCCTAGTATATATTATCCTACTCCAGGCCCGTATAAAAGCCTGTATAAAGGCACGTATTGCTGCTCATGGGCCGTGTTAACCCGTCTATCTTTCACAGTACGATGTCTTCGAATTCTTCGGTCTTGAGAAGAAGCTCAAGATCAAAATGCAGGAATTCCCCATCAACGAAGACGAAGTGGAAATCCTCTTGCCTTCAGTGAAAGCGGCCGAGCAGACTGCCTCTGAGGTGACTAACAAGTGTCCTGCTAGTGCAGTTAATCTTGATAAGAAAAATTAGTGTATTACCTAATCAGACGATATTACTGTGCATCACACTATATATTGATGTGAATGAGATGATACATTGATGTGAATGAGACGCTAATATTGTGAATGATATGATATATTTAATTAATTGAGACGATATTAGCGTGAAAAAGATATTAAAGTGCCATTAAGTTACGTATGCACGTGTTTTTTTGCGTGGTCGGCGTAATCTTTTGTTTATGAGCTTTCTTACATTCAAATCTTGCTAAGTAAAATTTAGATAATTTATTTCATATTTGTAAAATTTTTGAAATCATACGTTATGTTCTCCTCCGTCGTGTGCAGGAATTGGGCCGCATGGAGGATGACCGTTTCTTGGCTGGGATCAAGTCCGCCAAGAGGAAAGGCTCGTCTTTTGGATCTTCTAAAAAGCGCAAGACTTAAACTTTTGTTTGGTTACCCTCTTCATCAATTATATATAGAAACAAGTTTTGCTGTAGAGTTTTCTTGTTATATTAATTTTATTAAGTCCTGCAGAAGGCAGAATATTTCTGTCTGGGGAATGAGGCGCGCTCCCCCAGGCATCAAGCGCCGGTACAAACAATTTTATTCTATCATCACTTGGATTACTTAGCAATGATTCAACTATTTTATACTTCGAAAAGATCATTTTTTCAGACTTTGGACTTGGTTTAATTTTACTTTTTAGGATTTTTACCCATGAACAAGTTAAGAAAGAGAATGTGGTCCGTGCTGCTTCTGGTCACAATAATAAAAGGGTACCACAAATTGCACCCTTCGTAGGTTTATTTATGACGTTATTGGTGGCAAGTCAAACGCCGGTAGGCCTTTACTTGGCTGAGCACTTTACCGTTCCTGGTACACTCTTTGGGGATGTTGTTAGCGGGTTCAGGGAGTTCAGAAAATGAATGTGCCCTATTGCCTTAAAAACCACACTTTCCTTACGTATCACTGATACACCTCGTAGCCGGGTTAAACTGTTTCAGAGTGCATTACCATTTGGACAAGTTCTCTCCATTTTCCTGAGTGTGAGCGCTACATTGCAAAGCATAAAGAATGTGACTGCGGGTCCGAGAAGTTAATGTTAGTGTAGGTACTCTTGCACCTCCTTTTGACCTCTTCGGGTGGCGGGCGTCTCGAGCAAGCGTACCTTTGAACAAATGTTTTTTTTAATTGCGTGGCTGTTCAGCTATATTCGTTATGTGTAGCCGAGATACTAAGGTTGTTTCTTTCCTTCCTAACCTGGCGAAGGTTGCTGGACAACTAAGTTATTTCGTCTATTCATAGTGATGACTAATTATTTTCTTTCGCAATATGATTGTTCACTTTGCTACAACTCAGCTTAAAAGTTCGGAATACTTTTTCGAATGGCATTGAATAAATTTCTCACACTATTGTCATTCGTAAGAGTAAACTGAAGCTCTATATACTCATTATTTCAGATTATTTTCTAGTCATACTTGAGTTTATAGCTTAAAGTTCGCAAGTAAGCAGGAGACATCATGGGTTGCTGGCTGAGCCGCACGGCGGCGGATGTCATCGCTGGGGATCAGCCGTGCGTGACCGCTAAGAAGGTCTACTCCTGGTAAGCCTGGTTTGGTGCTCTTGCATTTTAATATAAACCTGGTTAAGGAATAAAGAGGGTATTAAACCTTATTCCTCAGGTTAATGAATAAAGAGGGAATTGAACCTTATTCCTCAGGTTAATGAATAAAGAGGGTAATAAACCTTATTCCTCAGGTTAAGGAATAAAGGGGGTATTAGCCCTTATTCCTCAAGTTAATGAATAAATCGGGGATCAAACCTTATTCCTCAGGTTAATGAATAAAAGGAGTATGAAGCCTTATTCCTCAGGTAGAGAATAAAGAGGGTATTAAACCTTATTCCTTAGGTTTATGAATAAAGAGGGGATTAGTCCCTTTTCCTCAGGTTAATATGGACAAAGGTTGTGCTGCATTACAATTGCTTCTTGAAATGCAGGCTGGTAACTCGGAGAATTACTATACAGGTAACCTCGTTGTCATGTTGTTAACTTAACGTTGCTGCTGTGCACACTGAAATGAAACGCTCATCGGAGAGTTTCTCTATCGAAATATTATTTCGTCAGACGTGAGAGCATCATTCTAAATTATATTTTGCTGGATATCTTTAAAGGTGCGGATTTCTTTAAAATTTGAAAATATTATGTCCGTCAAAATGTATGTCATATGTTATATATCAGGTTAACGAATAAAGATGTATTGAACCTTCGGCGCCCTTACAAATCATTGTGCAATTTCTGGACCCGTTGTTATGCGAACATTGTGAAACTGAGGTTGCTATTCTTTTTCATCTCCTGTGCTTAATTTAGTTATTATAGAAATTCGTTCGACTTGAATCTCTGCTCTTCTTTACATGTACAAAAATGATTAATAACTAAAGATATCAAACTTGCGCCGAACTGCAGTACTTCATATACATTTATTAAATAGAAACGCTTACTTTTCATGCAAAAAATGCTAACAAAAGTTTCTTGTTCACTCCGCATTTTTAGCTTGGAAAATACGACAATTACCAACCGCTGGCAATGCTGTACAGCTGAGCAAGAAACCTGCCTTATTTGCTTACTAATACTTAGAGTGGTAATGTATTTTGTTAGCAATCTTTGCTGAAAATCGTGCTTGAAAATATGCCCCATTAGTCGCTTGTATTGCAGGGATAAGCGCGAGAAGAAGGATCCAGCTAAATACACCATCGAGAAAGTAAGCGAAGCATAATTTTCTGAATCACCAAGTTGGTGTCGGCACACGTGTTCGGTTAACCGTGTAGTGCATGCCTCACTATCACGCACTGCGTCGTATGTTTGTTTTTGCCCTCACTGAGAACATCGCTCTTTGTTTTGCATTTCGTATCGCGCGTCGCACTTCTTTAACTTTTTTGAGTCATTAGATGAGAGGTTCACTACTGAATGACTTGCAATCTACGATAGAAAACCTCCAGTGTTTTCGACGGAGAAGAGTGCTAGAAAGTAGGAAAATGAAACTATTTTTTTTTTTCACGTAGTGAATCTCAAAATTAATTACGGATATCTAAAATTTTATTCTAATTCATGCTAAATGGCTTGATAATTGAACGTTCAAATCGCTAAAGCTCGACGCACTCTTTTAAATATTGGACCGTTGGTTATTATTTTAATGGACCGTAAATTTCTATTTATCGTGAGTTTGAAAAGTATTCCCAATTCTAATATTTTACAAATTTCATGTCAAACACTTTGCTAGTTCTAGCGCATTTTCTCATTTATGGAAAAAATGCACTATTGTTTTTATTTACTTTCCTATTGCTGTTGAGCTTTTATCATATATTAGCAATCGTGGTTCATGGCACAAGAAAGACACGTATTGCTGTCTCGCACTGCTGCTTACAGTGATGCAGAAGCACAACTCGGAAGCCGCGGCTTCGTTGAATGTGCTTTACGCTGTTGATGTAAAATAATACTGTAAAGGATCTCTTGAATTGTCCACTTAATTGTCTTGACATGATGGTAAACTAACAGATGGTGGGGGTCGAGGTGGGACGGATGCCTGGCATGATAGCAGGCGAGCAGTTCGTGGTGCGCGAGTGTAGTCATTGCTGCATCTTTCTTCTGGACCACCTGAACACCATCACCGTGGACGACTGCTCCGACTGTACCATCATCATCGGACCCACGTCAGGCAGGTGAGAAAATTACAACGTTATAGTTACCAGGAGATACGAGAGTACGAACAACGTTATAGTTACGAGCAGATACGAGAGTACGAACGTTATAGTTACGAGCAGATACGAGAGCACGAGGACCGCACTCGCTCCAGAGACGATCAAAATCTAAGCTGAGACTACCACTGAATTTCCTATTAGAGACGATCACTCAATTTCCTTGCATTGATAATTACTGAATTTCCTCCTAAAGACGATCACTGAATTTCCTAGCATTGTCGGAGATTTCGTTACCATTAGGAAGCGTTTCGTTAATATTTTAGATCTCCATCCACTCATTATTTTCTCTTAAACATTCCATTTATGTGAAAAATGTAATCAATGATCTCAGTTGATTGAAGTTTTTATTGAGATTTCAAATTGATGTTTCAATCACATTAATATCACTTTATTTGAAATTTTCGCTGCTGATGAGGAAGCTCTTGAACTTATTAGATTGTAAAAGTACTTGAAGGAAACAGCTGTCCACGTACAAAAATTATTACCGTCAACAAATTCTAAATGAAATAAGGTTTCGGGTTTAAGCAATGGTTTAACAATGTTTAACGACTAACTGCTGTGACATGCAGCGTGTTTATCCGGGACTGCAAGAGCTGCGTGGTGGTGGCAGCGTGTGGTCAGTTCAGGACCCGAGACTGCCAGGAGCTACAGCTCCGGCTGCTGTGCAACACGCAGCCTATCATAGAGGCCAGCACGCGAGTCCGCTTCTCCTGCTACCAACTCTACTACGAACAACTGCAAGGTTAGCGCATCTACACTAAGTTTAGCGTCTCTACACTAAACATAGAGGCCAGCACGCGAGTCCGCTTCTCCTGCTACCAACTCTACTACGAACAACTGCAAGGTTAGCGCCTCTACACTANCCTAGCAGAGAATATCACTCAATTTCCTAGCAGAGACGATCACTCAATTTCCTAGCAGAGACGATCACTCAATTTCCTAGCATTGACGGTGATTAAATTTCCATCCGAAAGCGTTTCACAAATATTTTTCATCTCCATCCACTCATTATTTTCTCGTCAGTATGTTTTCTATCCGTTTACGGGATACTCGGACGAATCAAATATTGTGGGTAGAGAACAACGCGTGCAACAGTTTTTTTCCATAAGCATAAGACTGGAGCGAAGAACCACTTTTCTGCAAAATCATTTCATGACATTATTTTGTTGAAACCTTACAAACTAAATCTCATCTAAGGATTTTACTGTGAAGTAATTTGTAAAGTTTTCTCATCGATTCAGAGGATTCTGAAAATTACACTTTTGAAGGTACTTCTGACATAACCATAAAATTTTCAAATTTGACATGGATCTTAGACTTTAAGCTCTTGATTGAATAACCTTAACTTTGCAATGAGTAAAAGTTCAAAAAATAACCGTGGGAACGCTCAAATACACGCAAGTGTCCCAATTAAATGACTAAGGCCGAGAACGAGGCTACAAGAGCCGCTAAACATCGATCGTTTTTGCCACATTTTAATTACTAACGCATATATTGAATAGGATATTTGTGTTCGGAAAAATATAATCGATAATTTCAGTTGACTAAAGTTTTTATTGAGATTTTAAATTAATGTTTAAATTGCATTAATATCACTTTATTGAGAATTTTCGCTGCCGATGCGGAAGCTCTGAAACTTGTTAGATTGTAAAATTCGTTGAAGGTGGCAGCTGTCCATATACAAAAATTATTACTGTCAACAAATTCAGAACTAAATAAGGATTCGGGTTTAAGCAATGGTTTAACAATGTTTAACGACTAACTGCTGTGACATGCAGCGTGTTTATCCGGGACTGCAAGAGCTGCGTGGTGGTGGCAGCGTGTGGTCAGTTCAGGACCCGAGACTGCCAGGAGCTACAGCTCCGGCTGCTGTGCAACACGCAGCCTATCATAGAGGCCAGCACGCGAGTCCGCTTCTCCTGCTACCAACTCTACTACGAACAACTGCAAGGTTAGCGCATCTACACTAAGTTTAGCGTCTCTACACTAAACATAGAGGCCAGCACGCGAGTCCGCTTCTCCTGCTACCAACTCTACTACGAACAACTGCAAGGTTAGCGCCTCTACACTAAGTTTAGCGTTTCTACACTAAACATAGAGGCCAGCACGCGAGTCCGCTTCTCCTGCTACCAACTCTACTATGAACAACTGCAAGGATAGCGCCTCTACACTAAGTTTAGCGTCTCTACACTAAACATAGAGGCCAGCACGCGAGTCCGCTTCTCCTGCTACCAACTCTACTATGAACAACTGCAAGGATAGCGTCTCAACACTAAGTTGCAGGTCACAAACTCAGACGTTCAGTGTAGTACATGCCTTCAGAGAAATGAATGGGATTTTGTCCAAATAGCGAGGCAGTTTTTGCGCTTGTGTGGATCATCTCGACACAGTATGAGCCAAAACTAAATATTAAATATCGGATGAAATCTAAATAATAAATCAATCAATATTTAGGAGCTTTTGATTGAAATGACATAAAATAATATTTTTTAAATGAAAAAGTTCATGATCTGGATGTGATTTCATCTTCTGTTATACCGACATATAGAATTTTAATTGAAATCCCTGCTTGTGGTACGGTATATGTCTTTTTCAGACCAGTTTCGGCGCTCTGGTTTGAGTGTGTTCAACAACAACTGGAGTGAAGTTCACGACTTCACTCCAGGCACAGACGGCGACAAGAACTGGAGTGTCGTGATGCCGTCTGTTCTCCCTGATCTCAAGCTGCCGTCGCAATCTCCGTTTGATTGGTAAGGGAATTTGTCTTCTTAGCCCAGCAGCCCATTACGAGCGCGGAGCAATTGCGTTCAATTCTTGTTAAGTCTCGTATTATTACGAGCCTTTTAAAAGAAAAAAATATTCAACTCGAGCGTGCACTGCCACGTCTATCTCTATCAAACTTTAGCGTCTGAACTGTCTTGCAAATAATAGCTTTGAATTCATCTCAGATAACAAAAAAGGCTTTTTAGAACTTTTTTTGGTAATGTATCGTATGTTGTTGATGCTCTCTGACGATTGTGAGAGAGCATCTGCCATGACTCTGCTATGAGACTCTGCTATGGTGAAAAATACTGCCTGCTCTTTTAAAGTGGATTTTTCAATTTTTATCTGCCTGTAAAATTGGAAAGGTTGTCTACGAATACGGTAAATATAATTATTTTAATGCTAGGAACCATCAGATTACTGTGGTAGTTTGATTGAAAGTTCTTGACGTGACTTTTAGTGCGAAGTATCTAGGGTTATTGCGGTAGTCAGCAGGACGAGCGGCTGAACTAACATACCGTATGTTCTAACAGTAATTTTGCGCGCAATTCAAACTTGATATCCATTAAAATACAACGATAGATAGATCGCTATTAAGCTGCTGCCACTCATGCTTAACTGGAATTGGTCTTCTCCCTCCTCCCCAGCGTTGGCATTGAGTGCAGTCGGACGACAAGCGTGGTGCCCTTCACGATGGGCAGCGTGAGTCCCCCCAGCTACAGGATGCTGGGGGACGAGCCGCTCCTCGTCATAATATACCACTGCCCTCAGCAGGGCGCCATCGTCAAGGGTGTCGTCAGGGTCTTACAAGAAGCTGCTGTTAGTCTGGTCATACGTTCATAATAATGCATTAGGTTGCATGAGCTATCATGACACGCGATGAAAGTGAAACTAACGTATATTCTCAATACAATGACCCGTAGAAAGTGTAAATTGTCTGGGTATTAGTTATTATGTTATTATTTATCTAAATGTTCTGAATAAATTAAGTTCTCGAGTGCTTTACGGCTCGTATAGGCAGTTCGCCCCTGATGAAGCATGAGAGAATCAACGTAATTATCCGGCCACTGACCGTCATGCTGTGTGCAGGGGCTGAGTGCTGTGTTGTACACCCGTGAGGTGACCATCTCCCCCACTGAGGCTGTGCGGGTGCTGGGTGAGGCGGCTGCTGGGGACGCTGGGGCGCTGCTCACAGCGGGGCCCGTGGTGGCGCTCCTCGTCGACGCGCCCTACCACCACATCCAGCAGGTGATCCACCGTATAGCATTACTTCTACAGGCAACCATTCCAACATTTTAAAATTATAGGTATTTCATAACGTCAACAGGTAACCATCCATACTATTTTAAAGTTTATTTTTAGCCAGCCCGCGTCAAAAGTTTTCCCTACTAGTTGACTTCATTTTGAAAATTCCTTTCAATGTTAGGGTTCCGAAGAATTAATTATATAGATCAGTCATCAATACGGCTGAATGCCGTATGGTGATTCAATACGCTGAAATTAAGCTGCACATCAGTAATTTGCAAAATTGATTAAATAATTAATAACATTCATCTTTTTTCCTGGCAGTCCGTCTCTGCAGTCAGGAGGGACCTTTACTTCTTGTCCCCTAACAACGGCAACGGCTACAACATTGCCAACAAGTTCTTCTCGTTTGCCTCGCTGTCCATGTCCGTTTAGATCTTCTTAGTCCACTCGTCTAGAGGACATTCCTTATCGACTTCACCGTTTGTTATTGAGTTTTATTCAGCATCCGAGTTTTATGGCACAAAATTATGCGTTCAGTAATATATGCTATGGTGGTTTTCTAGTATATGAGAAAGTATTTCTTCTTCATTTCTGTTAATTGATTAGACACTGAAGTTTGTCAGAAGTTTAATATTGTTCCATTAAAAGTCAATGAATTCCTAATGCTGCCATTCTTCTACGTAGCAAAATGTTTCATCCGTCCACATCTAATTATGCGATCTGTGATAGATTTAGCCCTAATTGTTAATGCAAGTTTAGTGTCAATTGTGCATCCCGTTGCGGTGATGAATTTCTTGATAACCTGGGATTATTTTGCCTTGCTTCTCCTATGGTGTTGACCAAGCAGCAAAGGAACGCTTAATACCTTAGAGCAATAAATGGTTACAATGTTTCGATCAAAGATATAAATAAGTTGTCACTGGCTATTCATTTCGTTGTTTTAAGCATTCAAGTCTGAGCATTTATAACTCAAATTATGTATTGTACGACAAGCTAAAGTTAATAAATGAAGTACAACTTAGATTCACCGAAAGCACTTCGTTTTGTCTTTTCATTTTGAAAAATTTACTATACAAGCCCATGAGATCCTTTTGGCATAATTTTTCGTCCTATTATAAGTGCGTCTAACTCAATGTACAACGTTTTCTTTTTGACCCACATGCACTATAAACTAAAAAAACTGCGGTGCAACTTATCCACGCGACAACATTTCTTCTCGCTTCGAGTCACTGACACATGGAACAGCCTCCCTGAAGATATTGCAGACGCTCCAAGTATAAACGCGTTCAAGAACAGACTAGACAAGGCCATGCATGAGCATATGTTTAGTCTTTAAATGCCTCACACCCTACGGAACAACTGAAATCTAGAAGCGATTTTAAATCTACCGTCCGTTGAAAAGATCTGATCAAAAGACCAGTCTAGTCAAGAAAAGTACAAGAATCGGCGACAGGCCTATCCAGGCCTATTCTTTAATGCCGAAGATACTATACTATACTATGATAAAAACTTATGCACAGCGAGCAGTGTGGCTTCTTCATCTGGAAAAGAAAGGACAAGAGTCGTAATTTTGATCACTGCTTAGTTGAACATCATATAGGTTATGGTTATGGATCAGAAAGGATTAACCATAACCATTGTCCATTATGGATAAAAAAATCCTGAAGGATCTCGCACAGGTTGACACGAAGGAAATACAAAAATAATACGAAGCTCCCATCAGAATAAGCAGCTATATAGGTTCTCCATTACCCCTCAAGGGAGCGCAGCCGTGCACCACCAATTTTGTGCACCAATAAGCCCTGAATCGAACGCTTTAGATCTCTCCGGACATCCACCAATCAGCCGTGAACCAACAAAAATGTCTTAGAATTCTGTTTTACATATGTGTACCAAGTTTCAGAGTGATCCGTTCGTAAATAGCCGAGATAAATTTTAGGGTAGACGCTCCCCTTAAGGTAAACCCATCAATCACGGGCGAGAAATTAAGCGCTACGTGCACTTGCTGGCTGCGTTTATTTAAAGGGATTTTTGATTGTACGGCTCCTTGAAGCAACCTTTTGCTCTCTGGTCATCCTATTCACATCGCTACCAGAGCCAGGAGAGGGAATGTAAAACACATTTACGTTCACAGTGTATAATAGATACAAAACTTGCATGTATTTCGTGGATGTGGAGTTACACCTTTATGGCTATTCAATGCATAGAAAGACGTGTACGAAAGACGTGATACACGAGTGATCATGATCTTAATGTTAGGAGAGATACTGTGAGCGATCAATTATAAGCGTATCGATTGCTAAAATAGTGAATCTGCGAGGTGTTTTCTTTGCGTGACATGTTATATAGTTATCAATGATCAACATGTTGATATTCTCAGACCTGATATTTCTGTCATCACATGGAGCAGCAACAGGTGACCATGTGCCTTGTCTTGTCGTAGGTATTATAGTTGACATGGTGGTTATGGCTGTCCTCCTGCCGTACTCCTGAAGCTAATATATAATAGATTGCAGTGCCTACAGCATAACTACGGTGGTTGGCGCCTTTGCATCCTCCACCTTGGGACCTGAACGTTTCCACCGTGTGCGAAGACTACCCAAAATTATCTACGATCCTCTTCTGCCCGTCCTTCCCCTGGCGTAGTCCCACTTTCCTCTTGCTCTACCTTTTCTTCCCTAAACCACAGCCTTACTCTCTCGGCTTCCATTAGCTGTTCCTCGCGCCTCTGAATGTAGGTGTCCTGGTTGTAGGTGTCTCCTACTGCAGTACCTTCTACCGTCCTTCATTAGTCTATCCTGAAGCATCTCTCCCAGCCCCTACTGCAGGTAGCCGCTGTCAGATTAACTGCACTAGCCGTACACTTGTAAGTCACCTCAGAGGCAGTCTGCTCGGCCGCCTTCACTGAAGGCAAGAGGATTTCCACTTCGTCTTCGTTGATGGGGAATTCCTGCATTTTCATCTTGAGCTTCTTCTCAAGACCGAAGAATTCGAAGACATCGTACTGTGAAAGATACAAGGGTTAACACGGCCCATGAGCAGCAATACGGGCCTTTATACGGCAGTGGTTGCCGCTGTCAGCGACGACGACGTGGCCGTCGGAGGTGTAGGCGAGCCCCTGGGGGCCGTGCAGCGGGTCAGCCAGCGTGTTGATGTACGACAGGAACGACCCGCCGCTGTCGAACACCTGCGGGACAAACAACACTCCGTCATGACGGTACAAACTCCTGAAATACACGTGGTTAGTGGGGCTGGCAGAGAAGTGTGAATGAAACGAGCGACGCGGTATGCCACCTGAGGCGATGATGACATCGTGATGCAATGACTGGGATCTCAGCTCGTCAAGTTAAGACATTTCAATAGCAATGCATACGGGGTCGATAGTGCATCGTATGTGTCGGTACAGTGCCTGAATAGAAACGGGACATTTAGGATCAACATCGACGTTGCCCGTCATCGTCGTATTACAAAGCTTGTGCGTGTACGATAACTAGTCACACACCTGGATACGGCAGTCGGTAACACGTCACACACCTGGATACGGCAGTCGGTAATACGACACACACCTGGATACGGCAGTCGGTAACACGACACACACCGGGATACGGCAGTCGGTAACACGACACACACCGGGATACGGCAGTCGGTAACCCGACACACACCTGGATACGGCAGTCGGTAACACGACACACCTGGATACAGCAGTCAGTAACACGACACACACCTGTATACAGCAGTCGGTAACACGACACACACCTGGATACGGCAGTCGGTAACACGACACACACCTGGATACGGCAGTCGGCAACTCGTCACACACCTGGATACGGCAGTCGGTAACACGACACACACCTGGATACGGCAGTCGGCAACTCGTCACACACCTAAATCAGTCGGTAACACGTCACACACCTAAATACGGCAGTCGGTAACACGTCACACACCTAAATACGGCAGTCGGTAACACGTCACACACCTGGATACGGCAGTTGTAACAGTCTGCGATGACGATGATGATGTCGTGGGCGTCAACCGCGACGCCCGTGTGAGCGATGAACTGCCCGTTGCCTTCCCCGTGACTACCGAACGCGAGCACAAACTGACCGTCGCTGTCAAAGACCTGCATGCAACAGCGTAGTTTAACACCTGTGAAAGCTCCAATACAAGGAAAATGCGGGCAAAAACGAGGTATTTGAGCCCTAATTGTTTGACTGTTGCAACGCACCTTGACGCAGTTGTTGTAGAAGTCTGTAACCGCAATGATTATTAATGGCTGATGAGAATGGGTGAGCATCTTACCTTGTCACACTATCCTTCAACAGGGCAAGGCTAGGCTCCTAATAAATAGTTACACCAATTAAGAACACTTTAAAGACAGTCACGATGAAAAAAATTAAGCTGGGCAGTCTCATCTTCATCCATTGATCGCTTTGTTCCTCCGCTCCACTGCACAATAAGTATTGCTCGCGGCAAACCTGACCGTAAGCAACACGTNACTGAAACTGGAAGGATTTAGAGTTGTTGATGTTCATCCTTGGAAGGTCGCGAATGACCGTTCGCTGGTGAACTAACTCATTGATGAAATGCTCAAGCTTTTGCGTCGCAGAGCAGACTGTTCTTGCAGCACGTAGTCAGCAAACTGAGATAATGTGGACTCAACTTGCTTGGTGGTCCCTAAGGTCAGGCGACTCATCTCAACGTCTAACACATTGATTAGAGCAGAAGAGTCGCCTGACCCAAAGGCTTCTTCGACATCTTCGGTCCAGATGATCTGGGCAGCCAGCACCACGAGCTGCGCCTGGTAAAGATCGCACGACTTCATGTAGGCAGTAGAGTTTGTGCCGGAATGCCCAAGTCTACGGATGTCTGCAACCGCTGAGACAAGGTTTTGGGTTAATGTCATCCGCATTTCCTTCTCGACGAGGGAGAGCCATTCATTAATTTTTTAATTTTCGATTGTGTTCACACAATTTTTGAACCTAACTTCTCCCTCGCGAGAAGCTATGCCAGAAATGATCGTTTTATCTTCATTAAGGATGATGGCAGCGACGCCAGTGAACATGTTTTTTAAATGTTCCGCATGTTGGGTTGCCTATGCCGTTTCTTGTGATGTCTCGAAAATCTTGATCACCCCTCAGGGGGGGGGACTTCTGACATGTTTGTGCTCGTCAGAAGTATGGGATTTCGCGATCCTAGAGGGATTGTTCCTGAGCGCCCCACCGCTGAGCTTACGGTGTCTGATTGCAGGTATCAGTTGTGGGGGTTATGTTATTATGTAGGTAGGATTCCTTACATTCCTCTTCTCAGCTTCTCAGGTGCGGGCGGCCGACGTCCCGTGTAAGCGACCTCTTGTTCAAGTGTCTTAGTTTCTGTTGCTTTTCAGCTGTGCCTCCTTGTCAGTTTGAAGATTGCATTCGACAGGAAACAATCTTTATTAATGCCTGGTAAAATGTTCGTGGCGTATTTGAAATGGAAAGAACCTAAAAAAATACTTAACAGAAAGAAGGGTAAAAATAATTTGAAGTCATACTCACGCTCCTTGTGCAATCTGAAGTCACCGTTGTACCTCTTCCTTGCACGATCCTCACTGGTAATTCAAGAGCGCAATAACTCGCATAAAACCCTGGCATCGAACCCAACTTAGCCAAATCTGTTGCAAAGTCAATCTCTTGCCTCCTTTAGCACGCTACCCGTATGCAATAAAGTATTTACTAGCGCTTCACTGTGTCTTGCAGTCCACCTTGACTGTCTGAGATTACTTCATTGAAATCTGTCCCAACTGATACATTAGTTTGCTGTCGCAATCGTCGATTGGACAACGCCCGCTTGCGGTAGCAATAGATATCAAAATATTTATTATATATTAAATAATATTATGTATGTACAGGTATATAATAAAAATAAAAAAAGGTTCAACTGCCTTTCACACTAGGATCGCAATCCTTTTTTGTTATGATAAAAAGCTTGTCGCACTGCAGTCAAAAATTTTGAAAAAGACGTTGCCAAAAACTCGAAAACGAACCCGAAAGCCTT